AGGTGGCACGATGAGGCTCACTATGCATCGGTGCTCCTGATACAAGACTTTTTCTAGAAAAGTTAAAATGTGAATACCTCGAGAACCAGAATTAATTCCACAGTGAAAATTACTATTCTCTATCAGGAGTATATGCTATTGCAGGAAGTGGCACGATGAGACTCGTCATGCAGCGATGCTCCTGATACAAGACTCTTTCTAGAAATATTAACGCGGGAATATCTCGAGAACAAGAATTAATTTCACGCAGAAATATCGTACTAGGTATCAGGAGTATATGGTGTTGTAGGAGCTGGCACGGTAACGCTAGCTGGACAGCGGTGCTCCTGATACTCGCCTTTCTCTTGGAAAGTTAAAGTGGGTATATCTCGAGAACAAGAATTAATTTCTCGCTGAAATTTAGTATACCGTATCAGGAGTATATGCTATTGCAGGAGGTGGCAAGATGAGGCTCGCTATGCAGCGGTGCTCCTGATAAAAGACTCTTTCTGGAAAAATTAAAGCGGGAATACCTCGAGAAAAAGAATTAATTTCACGCAGAAATATCGTATTCTGTATCAGGAGTATATGATGTTGTGGGAGGTGGCACGGCAACGCTCACTGCACAGCGGTGCTCCTGATACTCGCCTTTTTCTTGGAAAGTTAAAGTGGGAATATCTCGAAAACCGGAATTAATTTCGCCCTGAAATTTAGTATTCGGTATCAGGAGTATATGCCATTGTAGGAGGTGGCGCGATGAGGCTCACTATGCATCGGTGCTCCTGATACAAGACTTTTTCTAGAAAAGTTAAAATGTGAATACCTCGAGAACCAGAATTAATTCCACAGTGAAATTTAGCATTCTGTATCAGGAGTACATGCTATTGCAGGAAGTGGCACGATGAGGCTCGTCATGCAGCGATGCTCCTCATACAAGACTCTTTCTAGAAATATTATAGCGGGAATATCTCGAGGACAAGAATTAATTTCACGCAGAAATATCGTAATAGGTATCAGGATTATATGGTGTTGTAGGAGCTGGCACGGTAACGCTAACAGCACAGCGGTGCTCCTGATACTCGCCTTTCTCTTGGAAACTTAAAGTGGGAATATCTCGAGAACAAGAATTATTTTCGCGCTGAAATTTAATATACCGTATCAGGAGTATATGCTATTGCAGGAGGTGGCAAGATGAGGCTCGCTATGCAGCGGTGCTCCTGATACGAGACTCTTTCTAGAAAAGGTAAAGCGGGAATACCTCGAGAACAAGAATTAATTTCACGCAGAAATATCGTATTCTGTATCAGAAGTATATGATTTTGTGGGAGGTGGCACGGTAACGCTCACTGCACAGCGGTGTTCCTGATACTCGCCTTTTTCTTGGAAAGTTAAAGTGGGAATATCTCGAAAACCGGAATTAATTTCGCCCTGAAATTTAGTATTCGGTATCAGGAGTATATGCCATTGTAGGAGGTGGCACGATGAGGCTCACTATGCATCGGTGCTCCTGATACAAGACTTTTTCTAGAAATATAAATGCGGGAATATCTCGAGAACAAGAACTAATTTCAGGCAGAAATATCTTATTCTGTTTCAGGAGTATATGATGTTGTGGGAGGGGGCGCGGCAACGCTAACAGCACAGCGGTGCTCCTGATACTCGCCTTTTTCTTGGAAAGTTAAAGTGGGTATATCTGGAGATCCAGAATTAATTTCACGCTGAAATTTCGTATTCTGTATCAGGAGTATATGCTGTCGCAGGAGGTGGCACGGTAACGCTAACTGCAGTGCGGTGCTCCAGTTACTCGCCTTTTTCTTGGAACTTAAAGTGGGAATACCTCGAGGAAGAGAATTAATTTCACAGTGAAATTTAGTATTCTGTATCAGGAGTGTATGCTATTGCAGGAGTTGGCACTATGAGGCTCACTATGCAGCTGTGCTCTTGATACAAGTCTTCCTCTAGAAAAGTTAAAGTGGGAATATTTCGAGAACCAAAATTAATTTCAAGTTGAAATTAGTTTTAGGTGTGTATGCTATTGTAGCAGGTGGCCCGAAGGGGCTCACTATGCAGCGGTGCTCCTGATAAAAGACTTTTTCTAGAAATGTTAAAGTGGGAATATCGCGAGAACCAGAATTAATTTCACGCTGAAATTTAGTATTCGGTATCAGGAGTATATGATTTTGTAGGAAGTGTCACGGTAACGCCCACTGCACAGCGATGCTGCTGATACTCGCCTTTTTCTTGGAAAGTTAAAGTGTGAACGTTTCGAGAACCAGAATTAATTTCAATCTGAAATTTAGTATTCGGTATCAGGAGTATATGCTATTGTAGTACGCGGCACGAAGAGACTTACTATGCAGCGGTGCTCCTGATACAAGGCTTTTTCTAAAAAAAGTTAAAGTGGGAATATCTCGAGAACCAGAATTAATTTCTCGTAGAAGTTTTCTATTCGGTATCAGGAGTATATGACGTTGTTGGAGGTGGACGATGAGGCTCACTGTGTAGCGGTGCACCTGATACACGCTTCCTTCTATAAAAATTATAGTGGAAGTATCTCGAGAGCCAAAACTAATTTCACGCAGAAATTTCGTATTCGGTATCAAGAGTACATGATGTTGTAGGAAGTGGCACGGTGATGACCCCTGTACAGCGGTGCTTATGATACACGTCTTTTTCTTGGAAATTTAAAGTGGGTATATCTCGAGAACCAGAACTAATTTCACGCTAAAATTTAATTTTCGTTATCAGGAGTATATGATATTATAGGAGATGGCACAATGGGGCTCTCTGTGTAGCGATGCAGCTGATACACACCTCCTTCTGGAAAAATTAATGTGGCAATATCTCCGGAACCAGAATTAGTTTCACGCTGAAATTTCGCTTTCGGTATCTGAAGTATATGATATTGTATGAGGTGGGACGATAACGCCTACTGTAGAGCGGTGCTCCTGATATATGCCTTTTTCTAGGAAAATTAAAGTGGTAATATCTCGGGGACCAGAATTAATTTCACGCTGAATTTTCGGATTTGGAGCATATAAAATACTAAGATGTGGCATGTTTTGTCCCACTGTACAGCGGTTCTTCTGATAGAATGTTTTCTCAAGAAGAGCGGGCTGCAGTTTTATACTGAAATTTCTTTTTTGGTATCAGGAGCATGTAGCAACCGAGGAGATGGCACCATGAGGAGCCGTCGTTGAGCGATGCACATGAAACAGATGTTTTTTATGAACAGGACCGCATGATGTTGTACCCTATCGTACTACCTATTCCACTGCGGCTGATTCAAAACAAGAAATATCAGCGACTATCTCGTGCTGGCCTTAGAGACATTCCCGCTTGAATTTTTCTAGAAAAAGCTTTGTATAAGGACCATCATTGTTCATTGGGCATAGTCGTGCCACCTCCTAGTATGTCATATGCTCCTGATACAAAATACGAAATTTCAGCGTGAAACTATTTCTGGTTCTCGAGATATTCCCGCTTTAATTTTGCTGGAAAATGCCTTGTATCAGGAGCACTGCCATGCAGTGGGCCTCATCGTGTCCCCTCCTAGTATCTCATATACTCCTGATATCAAATACGAAATTTCAGCGAGAAACTCCTTGTAGTTCTCGATTTATTACTGCTTGAATTTTTGTTTCGAAGGGCCACTGTATCTGGAGCACCATTCGACTGGGTGTCTTATTGTGTTGCCTGCTCGATATATGCTTCTGATACCAAATACGAAATTTTAGCTAGAAATTCCTTCTGATTCTCGAGATATTCCCGGAAAATGTCTTTGTATCAGGAGCACATGTATCTAGCGTATGTTGCACGACAATCCCCACGTCGAGCGTGAGGTGTGTCTTACGTATGGGCGTACTCTAGTGTGAAGTGCGTGTTTTTTATCTTTCTTTTCGTAATTTTTTTACATATACTATTATACCTTTTGCAGTCGAATTGACAAAGATTAGTTGTACGTATTTCTACAACGTTCTAAAATCTTTTGGGACAAGAATATTTAAAATTAATAGTACTGCATACTCTCAAACATTGTTAATTTTAAAAAAGATCGTCTCACGATGTCCATGATTCCGGCGATTCTGCTTGATGGAATTAGTCAAGTAGAGATATCATAGACACCGTTTTGAAAGACAGTTTCCAGAAAAATGCCTTTGAAGTTTAGTATTGCGGTAACAAGACACTGGTCGTCGCGTCCTTCAAATACCCATAATTTCGTTAATTTTAGGAGTTCACGTTTAAGGTTCTAGAGTTGTATTTTTGGAACTATATCGTTTAAGAATATGCAAAAAAAATCAATTTTTTTAAAATTTCTCTAGAATACCCCCTTAAATTTGTGGTTTTGTGTCTGGAGAACTTGAAGTTCGAGGCCTGAAATTTAACATTTTGTATCCGTTAGTGTCGTTATTGATCATAGTGTTTCATTATTACTGCAACTCCTGCAGTTCTTGTATTCAGAACTCCTACAGTACTGTCACCCGGTTGTCTATGCGTGAAAGTGTTTGGCACGCCATAAGGCGTCATTAATTATTACCTTTAATTAAAGACAGAATGGAAGATAGAATAGACTTGCCATGAAAAGGTGTTTCGTGTCTCAATACGAGGATCAGCATTGAAATCAATAGTTTTTTAACGCACTCTATGCTTAAGCAACGATGAATTGGAGAACTACATCAAGTAAAATGAAGCAAACGCAGACGAAGAATGTAGAAGATATTAAACTTGTTTAATTGTTACAAACAAGTAATTTTTGACGAATAATTGTTGAATAATCTTTAGAAATGTAGAAAGTAATTTAAATTCGTCATAAATAAATTTTGGAAATTATGTAATAATGTTTGTAGATATAAAACAATTAAATTATTCAATTGTTATGGGTAAATACTTAAAATTATTAACTAATATCATTACCTAACTAGGATTAAAATAATTGACTTAGTTAGACTTTATCTAAGTCTAATTAAAACAAGCATTTTTTATTCAAATATTAAAATATTTATTAAATCTGTAGATACACTAATTTAAACATAGCTGAAGTATAAGTTTATATTTATTTATATTTCATTCGAAAATTCCTCTCAAATAATACACCCAATTTATATAAGAAAAAGCATGGTCAGTACAGTACACTGTTAATTTTCCAGTAACAGGATATTTCTCTTTTTCAGTGTGTTCTCCTTCTTGCTCATCTTGTATATCCACTTTAATGTCGATACTCTGATAAAAATGTATTTTATTAATAAGAAACTGAGATAATATATACTGTAAAGATAGATAGATATATAGACTTAATTATTATAATTATAGTTAATAATATAATTGATAATGCGTGTATATAATTAATTTTTAGGTTATATTTTATAATTTAATGTAATTTAAACTTAAGTCATATATTATAATTATGATTTATATTATACAATATTATATCTATTATTTTATTACCTTACCATAATTTCATATTTAATATAAATTTTATTTATAACCTGCATTTAAATTACATTAAATTATAAAATATAATCTAGAAATTAATTTTATTAATTTAATCTAATAGTCCATTTTATATCATTAATATTGAGAATATACTTTGTAATATGATGTGAATTTAGATTAATATGGTATACAATTTATAAATTTTAATTTAAAATCACCTGTTTTGATTCTAAAATAATTGATGCTGTATTCAGTATAAAAATGTCAGGAACGTCGACGATAAAATCAAAGACCTTTGCCTCACTGAATACATTTTTAAAGGGTATTAAAGCTGAGGAGCTTCGAGTGACCATGTAAGGACCCATAGGTTTCGGTAAAGAGCAAGAACCGATCAAAGGAAAGCTTAAAAATAAAGGAATTGTACTGTATTATCGAAATGTAAATTTTTATGCATTTATATGAAATTTAGGGGTTCGGCAATGCATATACAATATTACAGAAAGTGCCTGAGGTAGGACACTCGTAATTTTTAGTTGACGCTTCAAATTTTTATTCATAGACTTTGTTTCATTACTGGAATTCATAAAAATACAAAATTGCATAAAATATCCGCAGTCTAACTGTCACGAATTTGACTTTTCTGTATAAGAAATTTGAATTATATTCTTACACAAATTCTCCAGCAGTGTCCGAGGATGCTATCAACGTGGCAGTGACATTTTCAACGTCGAGCGGCTCATAAATTACGTCGATTACACCGTTTTCTAATTTATTCACATGAATGAATTTCGAATATGCGAAACACTCACTATCTACCTAAAAAGTAACAAAGGAAATAACACGTGAACTTACATTTAGGTTCATATTCTCCAATATAGACTGCTTCAACAGGTTGCTGCGTAAATTCTGTTTATCAAAATACAACGACAATCTCGATTTATAACAGTTAAGATTTTTCAGTTTCAGATTTTTCTTTAAGAGGGGAACTTATTGCAATTCTTTATTAAAAATTATTTAATTATATTTGTTCGAGAAAGATCTCTGAATATTTGATTATTAACATTAAAACTACCGACGATCAAGGTGTAGAATTTTCATCAGAAATTAATGTAAAAAAGTAGAAAACTTTATAATACAATGGCGTACACGGGTTTCTATTTATACATTTTGCGAGAAATGATTTAAATCTCTAAAGATACATTGTTTTATATCTATGAACTTTCTGACAAAAACTATAAATTAACCATTTTGGTCATTTTGATAGATCTAGTATTAGGATACTAATGAAATATAAATGATGAGGCATAATGCATAAATCTATAACAATAAAAAGAAACACAAAACTCGCATAGTTGTCGAAATTTAGCGCTGCGGATCTTTAAATAACTACAGTACAAGAGTAATAATTCACTGGAAACATTTAATTTTGAAACTATGGCGAAAATAATAAAATAATATAAAGATATTAACATCTAAACATGATTGTTCAAATTCAATAGGGAATGTACGCAGCAACTTAATATAATTCATATCACGTACGTGTATCAGAAATTTGGTATTTTCTTGGGTAAAGTTTTTCACGAGAAGCGAGAACGCGTAATTGCTTCCTAAACTCGCATTAACACGCGTGGTCTTCTCTGGAGGAGCAGGATTGGCTTTCAATCGCAATTCGTACGGGAATCGGCCCAACTTTTGACCATCGATATTTAGCATGGCCATGTCAGTAACGAATGGCAATATTGGATGATATATTATAGAAATATACTCCTGCAATTTTTCAGTATTTCTGTGTCTCAAGTAACTATTTTAAAAAAGGGAGAGGAATAAAGGGATGGTAGGTTAACGAGGATTACTCACGTGTGATAATGGTTGCACGAACTTTGGCATTTGGATTACAGTGATAAATGGATGAAGACACTCCGCTGTAAATTTGATCGTTTCATGTTCGAGAGGATTCTCCAATTTCAAAGCGTGACAAATCTGAGATCGGGCTGAGGTTACCAGCGGGATCGATTCAATCACTTCCGGCTCTGTTACTTCGTACTCTATGTCGTAGAATTGATATTCGTTCTCGTTGTTAGTGAACGTTACCTGTATTAAGGAAGTATATAATTAAAAGCTTTGCTGAATATCGTTTCAGTAAATATAAATATATATGTATACAGTGTTCATGAAAGTATTCGAACACCTGTATATAATATTACGTATGTACAAGTTTTAAGGGTTCGTTTTGAAAGAAAAAGTCTTCAAAATTATGACGGTTCTGAGAACAATTTTTCAGTGACTTTAGAGACGTTTGAATTTTTATAATTCTCAACAATATGTCTGCAAAGGTATCCACTGCGTGATATAAAAATATCTTTGAAAAGAACGAATTCAAAGAAAAAGCTTCGCGTTTTAAAATGAGGCCACGTGAATTATTTTACCATTCCTTCCACGAAGTTATAACTCTATAAAGTGCGTCAATGTATTTAACACAGAATTATAGTAACGAATAGCTGATGTTCAATAAAATACCTATGAAGGAAAATCACAATGCAAAATGGTTACTTTGAAACTAAAATTCCACTTCTCGTAGCAATAGAACACCGCTCGGTAATCTCGCTGACCTTTTGCCGGGACATCAATTTTTTCATTACCTACGAAGCTGTACAATGGAACCTGTCCACGAAGAACAAAAAATGAACACAAGAAGTTCGCCTTCAAGAAGCTTTAAAGCAAGGACAATGTTAATATTATAAAAATCAAACCTGCGATTGCGTGTTATCGTTCGTTGTCAATTCGATCTTACAATCGAATCGTTGTTGGATGTTTAACCAATTGTAAACAGGCATAAGTTCGGTATACTTTGTTTTCGCGGGGAATCGACGGCTAATTTTCGATGTAACTAGCGGTGGTAAGCTTCTGCCACGAAGTGAATATACCATGTACAGATTTTCGTTCACGGATTTTAGCACCAGTGTTCCCTGTGGGAATAAAAGGAAGAGAAAATTAGTAAAGTTTGGAACTAAATTTGGTACGAAATGATAGCTTATCAGGCGATTAAGATTGCTTTCTTTCTATCTCTTGTTATATGTTTATATACCATATTTATTTATATCAAAAACTATTAGTTTAGGAAATATTTTAACTCTAATTTTATATAATTTTCTCTCAAACTAACAGTACCTTGACACAAGTAAGTTAATACTTTCTTACAGAGAATAAAGGGACTGATTGGTGTATAAAAAAAATATTTCTATTTAAAAAAATTAAGTTGACTTTCAATTCTTTGAAACACCTATCTGACGAACCATTTTTACCAAATGAATACATTTTTATCTATATTTCATCGTGACATACCTAATTTTATATAATTAAAGAAATGAGACCAGTGCTACATCATGCACGAAGGTACATGTATTATTATATTAAAATAATTCTATTCTGTATAACGTTACAGTAATATTATACAGCTTATTTTGTTGTGAATATTTAATAACATATCTGCAGTAGCAACATAAAAGGACAAATATGAGGAAAAAAGGACGAATTATGGTTAAAACAAAATTCTTTTTCATTGAGAATTAATAAATCTTTGAATTGTAAGAAAATGAAAATTTGAAACTCAAAAAGAAAGAAATGAGATTCTTTCTTTTTTAAATGTCATTTATGATGTTCTTAATTTACAGATGTTACATCAAGATTCCGAAAGATATCTCAGAAACTAATTGTCGGCTCGATTTAAAAATTGATTGACATCTTATTTATAAGCTATCACTTGATATCAAATTTTAGTTCGAAATAGATCAGAAATAGATCAGGAGAATGTTTTATTCTTTCCATTTTTAACTTTGATTTATCAGTTGATCTTTTACCATGTGCGGAGTGTTTCCAGAGTTCATAACAAGAGGCGAATATGTAACAACGCAAGGAGCAGACTGTTGCGCAGGAATCAGCAATATTTCGTCGACGGAAAAATAATCTCCAGTTACTTCAACATTCAGCTTCCAAGGAAGATTAGAGTCGTTCACTATAACCATTGATCGAGTTTGCTTTTCCCGTACCAAACATTCGAACATGATAGTTCCGATCGGGTCAGGAAGTTTTCCGCACGCTCCGCTAATTTTGACACTTAAAGATTCGTACTTCTCAATTTCTATTATCCCCTGCAAAAAAAAAGACATGTATATCTATTGGAAGTTATATTACGATACACGAGATGTGGACAAAAAGTTCGTGCAACTTTTTTTCCCTCGTATTATAAATTTGAATGAAATTGGGGTTCGTTTATTTTCACATTGTTCAAAGTTCCAAAATCGTATGACAAGCCATTTATAAATACACACTGACGCTTTAATTAGATACATACTGTTATTCATCGTCGGAGACCGTGAAATTTTTTACGTGAAACTTGGGAAAAGTGGATTATGAGAGATTATTAATATGACAGTTTCTCTTGAGACTTGGAAAAAGTTGGGCGAAGATTATCGATATGATGAATGTGATGTTTGAAGAAAATACTGCGAAGAAGAATTATAAATGGATGAAAACGTTTCCAGAAAAGGAAAGAACATGTGAATGACGATCCACGAAAAGATTTGGTCCTCCACCGACGAAATTTTTAATAATTTCTCAAGAAGTTACCAAATTATCAATGCAAGTGTTTCATGTGATGCATGATTTTTCATCTGTTTCCGCCCATTTAATTAAAAAAAAGTTTTGAACAAAAATTCGAGTGTACAAACAGTTTTGAACAAAAAAAGTGAGCGTGCAAATAAATGACAATAATAAAAATTTCAAAAATAGTATGTTATGAAAAAAATCGTGCGTCACCACGGAACACTTTTTCTATATATACGACAAATAAAAAGTATTTTTCTCGTGTCCAATTATTTGAAAAAGTTGTTAACTTTTCCCATTTCTTTAATGAGAAAGAAAGTTGTATAACTTACATTTGAAACTCTACGTCTGTATATAAGTACTGATGTTAATTATTTGGAGAGCAATGATCTCAATAAAGATGAAAATTAAAATAAACAATTTTTACGAAAATATTCTACGAATTTTCTTTCTATGCTTGTAAATATACTTCTATCGAGAACTCGTTGAAAATTGTAATTCAGGATCGATTCTCGTCATGAAGATACGCCAAACATTGTAAGTACACTATTAAAAATAATAATCAGTGATCGAAGTCCCAATTACTTCGATGTCGGTGAACAATTTTTAGCGCTTATAATCTGGAAAGTTAAACTCACGTCGAGGACGCGGAGGAGTGGAACGGTACACGCGTGCAGAGAAACTCATTAAGAGATTGTTTGACATATTTGTGCGCGGAGACGGGAAACGAGGTCATGAACTCACCTCACCCTCAATTAAGCACCGCTGCTCAGAGGGTTGGAACTTCACTATGAAATTCACATCCATGCCGGCCGAGCAGTAGCCAGACATAGGATTGATTTGGAAATCTTTCGGTAATTTCGACACGTTCCACTTGAACCTAAACGAATTTTTCTATTACAAAAAGTATATATATATAAAGAATGACGTTTTTTAATTTCATTTTATACAGAGTATTTCAAAAAGATGGGAGTAAGTTTCATATAGTATCTACTGCTGTGTTTTTGGAGAGATTTTTCATTCAATTATATTTTTCTATTTTTAATAAATTTCCTAAGTTTAATAGATGGAACAATTATTATTGATGATTTATTCTATTACTCTATGTATTTTTACTAGAAATTTTATTAAAGGTCAAATAAGTACGAAAAATATAATATTAAATATTAATATAAGTAATTTAATTTATTACATATCAAATATTAATATTAAATATAAGTAATTTAATTTATTAAATATTAAATATTAATATTACAAACCTCGAGCCCAAATCTCCAGTGTTCATTAATACGAGCTTAGATTCCGCTGCACAACCCTGAATTACGGTACCAAAGGAGATATGGTTCCTGTCCAAGCGGAACTCCGCTCCTACGCAACTTCCACGCACCAAGAACAATGGGAGAATCGTGGAAGACGATTGAAAAGCCACTTTGGCCATGAATGGTCTTATTCTCAATGAAGATTTAAAAGTGATCAGCACGTTAACTCTCTTATTTGGTTTCAAAACGATGTTCGACGACGGCTCGATGTTCAGAACGTCTGAAAGCTTCGGTTCTACAGTCTGAAGCTTCACATCCAGGGTCCAGGATCGCTTGGTCTCCATAATGGATGCTCGAACCAATTCGCTCGCGCCTTCCATCTTCGAGTCGCAGTATCCTCGACTTTCGCGATACTCGTCATAACCTCTGAGAAACTTCATCAGACCGAATTTCAGCTCGAGCGGCGCCGAACCTTCATTTATTACCGGGACCTTCTTCACGACGCTTTTGAAAGCGGGAACGCTGCCGAGATCTATCGATTTGTCGCGAGGATTCACCAGACAAACCTAAAATGCAAGATGCAGGATATTAAAGATAGAAATTGTAAATGCACACTTTTAACAAGTACATGGGATTCTGATTAAAATCATAATTTTATTTCTTAATGCAGTGATGATATGGCATTGTGTATATCAAAGAGAAACTTTGAAGGAATTATTAAATTAAATTATTCGACTGATTTTAATTAGCGATTAATTTAAGTAAAAAATGAAAATGAAGGTTAGACTGAGTTGAAGAAACATCTTGCTGTTGTATCACTTTCCGAAAATTTCAACGTTCGATCTTCTAGCGACACTGCAAACTCGAACAAGCGTGTGTATCTAGCCGGAACGTTAGTTAGTGCCTCGCGAGAGTTCGTCTTCGAGCGCCTAGCATCGAGAAACTTGCTTTGTTACGCCTCTCGTCAACTCCAACCCCCGGTGTAAGAACCGGATCCTGGCCGGCCGAGAAAAACTCAACGAACAGCCCCCTTATCGCCACACGGAAGTTTTAACAAGCCAATTGCTCGGCACTGCGTCGCGGATAATTTACTTACTTTATAGCTGATTCCCTCGCCAGTAATCGTTATCTTCTTCTCGCTCGTCGAGTTGATTGTGAACACCAAACATTCGTGGTACTTGGTTTCCTTCAACGGACGAAAAACGATCGGTATAGCGACCGTAGAATGGGCCGCCAGTGCTTCCGAGATCCGATTCAGATCGACGGAGAGGTGCGGTTGTTCTTCGAACTTACATTCAATTCTATGTTACGATAATTGGATGAAATAAACAGAAATGTTAGAGGGTGAATTGATTTCCTTTGTACATCAACTAGTAATCACGTATGAGTAGAATAATTTATATTATATTATTTTTATTCTGAATTTTATATTCGTTCCGAGATAGAAGTTACTGATGACGTTAGAACAAATTGAGAATACTAAAATTAAACAGTGTCGAGTCTAAATTTTTATGGCTTCCAATGTCCAGTGATGCTAATTAGAAGTTAACACTAAATTTTCCAAACATGTAAAAATTATTGTTATTTGGTATTGGATTTAATAAGACACAATACGAAGGTATAAGGTATGAAAAATAGGAGAAAATTTAAAAGGAAAATGACACGAAATAATTTATAAAATAGTCTTATATTTAATAAAAGCTGCAATAAATGATTGTAACTAATATTGATAAAAAAATGTCTAGTATAAAAATTACTAATATCACATAAATAGATAAATACCAATTTTAAACTTTTTGTTTTTCAGTGTACGTAAAATAACGAAGATATGAAAAATACATAAGTATATAAATATATAATACATCTGAATACATTACACGAACAAAGTGAGAAATAGATTTTTGAAGAGACTCACATAAAAGGCGCATCGTCAGAGTTTGTTACACAAAGCTCCGTAAAATAGGAGTTTGTATTGCGTTCTTGGATATAGCAAGGTCCAAAATCGTAACGATTGAAGCTGAATTCGATCGCAGGCCTTTTAGAGAAAGCTTTTAGTATAAATTTGTAAGTGGGACCATTGGAAACCTAGACAGAAAAAGTAATAACTTACGCCAGTTGAAATTTCGATTTTACACGAATCGAAAGATCTTTTAAAAGTTTTGCTATCGGTCACGATTAGCGCACCTGTAGAAGAACGCAATGATCCTTTATCGTAACTTTTTGATATGTTGTCAGGGTCAGGAAACAGGTGGATCGATCATCGCTGGTCACATAACCTTGCTTCTGAGACATCGTTACGTTGTACGCATTTCTGCACGAAATTTCTGGCGTCATACCGAGGTCCCAAGTATAATAGAATGCTACCTTACAGGCATTCGTTATGTCAAACTTGAGGGTAATCGCTATTTCGGGCATTATCTTCGAAAAGATAAAGAAAAAACAAGTTTTTATCTCTTTTTAATTTACACTGCTGAAGTATAACAAATATATACTTTCTCGTAAGTATTCGCGATAATATAAAATATGAAGATTTTTTTGAAAGAGTATTTTCACCCGTAGAATTATTTTTCAGTTATTATTTTTCAAGAAAAGTATTACATACACATAAGTTTTAAACTTTTGGAATTTTTCAGTAGTCGAGTTTCTCTTGTTAGTAATTTTTGGAAAAGGTCTAGTCACCTTGTCCAAGTTGATGATATTCTCCTTACTCTTGGAAGCTTGGATGGTTTCGCCGTTGGGTTTGTAATAAGAAACCGAGCATACGATATCGTAAACGGAGGCGGTCACGAAGATGGTAAGGGGACTTTTCATCAGTTTTACAGCGCACTGAATGGAAAAGTGGAACTCACCGATCCGGGTTGGATGATACTCGACCCTGTAGACGAATTAAAACTCTCACCCCATCATTCTGTTCGCGATTTCTCGCAGAAAACATGAAGAAATCTTCCAAGATACAAAATTGAGAAATCAAATGAGTTTCTTAAAGCGTTAAACGAATGTCATTATTCTACATTGTTAGATTAGTCCATTTGAAATCTTATAATCTCACAAATCTCGATTTTCGTAAATCCCGCAAAAACTTATAACACCTTTATAACAAGTAATGATTTTTATACGTTTTTGTATTCTTGCAAACATAACTGAAGAAATGAAACGTGAATAAAAATTTATTTTATCCACTACTCTACTTTGGATATTTTACATATTCTTGTTTATTTTGTACACTATTCTTGCACCTTGAAACTTCTCGTAAATGCGTGAAAATCCGGTTGAAAGATTTATAAATATTACAAGTGCAAAACTACTGAGGCTTTGAAGTACCAGAGATGTTGGTCGCTTTTCGAGAGAAGAGTCCCACTCATCGGAGTCACGCTGAGCTTTTGAAATCTACCCTCGGAATAGAGAGACTTCTCCAACACGTTGAACGGTATATGAAAATCCTCGTTGTTCAACAATCTCGTCGAATCTCTCACATTAAATCCTGAAGAACGGGATAAAATTTGTTTGATTCGTGAGATTGCAAGAAATGAAACAGGGGATTAAACGTGACGTCCTCGAACGAAAGAACACAAAAAGGAAGAAAACCACGGAGGTTGGCTGGTTCACGGCTAAGAACGCTTCGAGTCTAACCCAAGATTGTTGGCTTGAGTTTCATGTGAACGGCGAGGCAGTGCACCGACGGTTCGGTTACGGTGCCGACGACCAGAAAAAGGCACTCCAGATTGTATCTGTCGATGGAGAAGAGCCAGAAGGATTCGAAGACGCCGACGTCCTCTGCCAAAAACGTGAAAGCCAGGTCGGTACGTTTTCCACGTTCAGCGACGCCCTCGGTCACCATACAATGAAACTTCGATATCTCCTCTACTTTGCGAGGTGATCGATTCGTCCATGAAAAATAGTAATCGTCCGCGGTGGGGTTGATTAGGTGGAATTTCCTGAAATTGTTCATATTCACTTCTATATTTTCACGATTGATTCAAATTTCCAAATTTTCTGTAGCTAAAGGCTGTTCTGTTTAAGTCAATCTATCCGAATAATTGTTAAAGTATTGATAGCAGCACGTATTTCCATATATAAGTTTTAAACACTGAAAAAATTAAATAATACAGCATTAAAATTGCATATAAAGTATCAACATATTGATAATTGTATTATAAAATACACCTGCATTTAAAACTTGTATGAATACAATAAATACTAAATATTTAAAAAAGAATTGAGCGGCAATGTTATTCCTGTTTTGCGTATGATACTTTATACTTTATAAAATCGAAGTTGAAATATCTCCTTAATTTCCTAATCGCTTTTCAATATAAATACGTATATATAAATATGAAGTATATTACAGGATGTATACTTGTTTATAGGACATGCTATTTAAAAAATTAAAATTGGTCTTCGTATGTTCACTTACAAAAAAATTATTTATTAAAAAAAATACTGCTACGTATTCCCTTCCATTCAACTTTTGTTTCAAACACTTTTTTCTATCATTAATAGTTTGGCAGATAATAGAACATCCTGTATAATCAATAATTTAATTGTTGTTCAATATTTTAAGAATTAAACGTATACATTTGCCCAATGTTGGGCAATATTTAATGAAACTGAACATTTATTGCAAATAATAATTAGAGTATGAATTTAATCATTGAATACATTAACGATCAAATTAGTTGTTTAATTGTCAAATGCATTAACAAATAACGATTGATCCTTCTGCTGCGAAATTAATATTCGACACTGATATGAGATTTGTTATTATATGAACAATTATGATAACAGGGCTCATTTAATAAACGTTCATATACGTATCAAATAAAATTTAATTAAAGTTTGTGCGTGTAAAAGGCCACATTTATGAAATAAAATTTTATTTAATTCTTTTCGAAACTTTATTCAAAATTTCATTTAATTTATTTTGAAACTTTATTCAACTAAGATTTTATATGACTCAATGCATTTTCTCAATGATCAACTAGTTTCATTACTTTAGATCTATAAGAATTGTTATAATCAGTATTGTTATAATTTCAATAATAAATTGATATTTTTTAATATTTATATTTTACAATATTTTTAACTGATCTATCAAATCAAGTATTAAGAATTTTTCTTTCCTATCTACACCGATTAATATCTCTGGTAAATGCAAATAAAACTGTCGCAATTTATTACGAACTTCGTTAAAACAAAAATATTGTTTACGAACGGTGCAACATGTGCTGTACTTACTTCACATGAGTGCCGCCAACGCCAACCACTTTAAATTCGATTACCCTGATGTTCTGCCATATAGTGGAATCGTCTGTTTCGTATCCTATGGGTCCTGGTCGTGATGGATCTCGCCTCTCGCCGGTTACGTAGTCGCTTTCCTTCACGTCGAAATGACAATAAGGCAATAAACTTCTTGCCACGATGGGAATCATCAAAGTCGGTTGATTCGGCTCAAGATTTTCTATCCTACATATTAATACATTTCTTAAATTAGCAGAATACAGTAAAGAGAATTTTCATTAATATAGCAAGGAGAATTCAGCATTTTTATTCCGTAACAGAATAAAAAATACGTACCTTAGAATTTCTAAAAAAAAAATTGTTTTTATCGTAAATTAAAAATTTGTCAAAACTAAAGAAAATTGTACTACGCATTTTTAAATTATTTCACCACCTTTCTCTCTCGAACTATCAGCTATAAGACGCACTGTATATTAATACATCGCATATTATCCATATTTTATATTGCTTCTATTAGATCCATACTTGCACGTGAGGTATGCCTTGTAATAAAATACATCCTTGGGTGAAAATTTTAATGTACATTCCATGGATTGTCCGGGTGGTATCTTTCCTGTATCAGGATGAATTACGAAAGGCAGATCATCTCCTTCCAACCAGCTATCCGTGGTTCTTCCCGACAGTCCTGCGGTACTGCTGAAAAGATCCGACGGTCTCGTGCTTAAAGGAGTTTTCATGTCTGCGCTATCTAGAAAATTAAAAATTGAAAATAAGTAGAATCTCCGAGAATATTACCTAACTATCGGTTCTATCAAACTATTCCAAAGCATTCGGACATCCTTTTCAATTTATTTTAGACAGAATATAAATGAATGGTAAACTTAAAGGTAAAATGATTCTATTCTTTATGATCGTGTATAAGAGAATATTATGACACGATGAAACTGATTTTTAGAAGATAATATAGCAAAAAGATGTAGTGATTGTAATTCTTAATAATTAAATATTTAAAATTGTTGTTGTAGTATTTAATAAGTTCTTGTTGTAGTATTTAAGTTTTACAGTTTTCATCATTTTCACAAAAATATGAATTTTCAAGTCTACATTTTGAGTGGATAAATAATTCTAATTTTGTTTCTTTTCATTAATCAACCCCCCCCATTAATTTGTGCAGTTTGCATAATATTAGTGCAGCTTGCAGTTTGCATTATATTAGTATAAATCGATCAAAATGTCCGTATGCTTATGAGCAGTAGGTAATATACAGGGTGTCCTAGTTTTCATGATACGTATGTACGTTCATGATCCGAATGATTTTGCACACAAGTAAGCATGGATAGAACAACTGATGGATACTCTGCACGCAAAAATAAGTTAGAAATGTGAATTTGTTCGTTTAAGGCTTCATTTTTAAGAAAATAAACTTCGAATAACGTTTTATTAAGAATTGGTTTGGCACACAATCTCACTCCTGCCTAATTCAAAATTAGCCTAGTTCAAGTACATTTAAAAAACATTCAAACTCAATTTTCTTGAAAAGGAAGCATTGCGTGAAAAAATTTCATTCCAAGTTTCTTATTTCTTTACACGTACATAATAATTTTCTGCCAATAATTTGCTCCTTCTGTGAATTACTCAGTCTAGAATTAAGTTAATTAGCTTAATTCAGATATATTTAACACCTAACGAGCGAGATATCTTGCGTTGCATATTATGTCGCAAGAAGCTTTTGACAAGATATTTCGCATTCGTTAGAAATAAATATTTAACCTGATTATGATTCTTAATTACTAACAAATCGTTTATAGCAATAAAAAAATATTTGACGCTAAGAACGGTTAGCAATGTAATGACTGATCCATAATGTATTAAGAAATCTTCGAAAACGAAGGAAACAAAATTTTATTCTATATTTTTTCGTCTTATTCTTCTGCAGGTAGAATCCCTTCCTGGTTGTGCCATGAAAACTAAGGCAAAGAAATTACTAGAAACGAATGACGAGCATTGCTGCGACGAAAAATTCGTGCTGTCCCCTGTGCTGTATTCATCCTGTTCGATGTCCTTCCGACTGAGTTCCCTTGTTGCGGAAAAGATTCCTCGAGACGATTTAGAATTCCGTGTACGGGTTTCCTCCGCTGTTCTCGATTTGGAAAGCACGTTCGAACCGTCTCCTAGGTGCCTCTTTGGATACTGTTCGTCCATATTTATCTTCCAGGCGAATATCATATCTACGACCCCTGGATTCGATATAGAGAATGTGAACTCCCTGGTCTGTAATAAAATTTCGCAATTATTTTCAACGTAATTGAAATTTATACCAGTGTCGATGGAATAAATTCCTTTATAACAAATACGTAAACTTATCTTCTCGCAGTTTCTAGTTTAAATATTAGTTTTCGTTAATCTTTAAGATTGAGGTAACTATAGTATCGAATTATAAGGATGAAAATCAACCTGAAACATCAAGGTGTCTTTAAAACAAACATTCTCGACGGTGCACAAGCATTCCGAAAATGCGACAACGGCGTTTAATAAGAGATGGATTGATTTGCTTGTTCCAAGCACAACTTCGTGCTTCGGTTCTATAGTTGGCTCTACGATTTTCTTCAATAAAAATTCCACGTCGCTTAATGGACCCATTAGTTCATGGTGTACTTTCTCCCAACGTATTTCAACTTGCCTGTCGTCCCAACCAGTCTGAGTCTCTGAATATTCTATCAGAATTTCGTACATCGAACATTCGATGCGAACCTAAAAATAAAAAATAAAATTACATCGTAAGGAACAATTTATTGGCGTTTGTACAGAAATTGAAGATTTTGTATCGCATTTGTGGCAATTTACATTATTTACATAATTTTGAGTATTTAATTTTACTTTGCAGTTTACATTATCTTTAATATAAAGATTAACTTTTTGTAAACGATGCCTAATGTTGACGATTTAGACTTCTTTTGACCATTTTCATTGACTTAAATGACATTTATTTTTATAGCTTTAAATAATAGTAGTAAATGATCACATATTAATTTCGTTTTTTACAATACAATTATGACATTTAATTAACTGAATAATTAACAACAAATGGAAATTCGTCATTTTTAAACATAGTTGCTCACGCTATGTCGATATATCATCCTCTATCATTTTTCCTAAGCGAAACTACTTAAATATTGAAGCAAACTGATAATTTCCTTAGATACTTCTTCAGATACAATTTCCTTCCGAATAATTTTGTCTCTTAAAGATAACAATTATATTTATCATTTATTCATTATTGATAGTAAGGATGGATCTAGCATTCGCCAGACGGAGATTAATATCGAATTTCCAAGGAAATGTTATTACGGGATAACTGAAGTTTGGAAATTATTTTGTTCACGATTCAGTGACAACAGGTTTCATTTTGGAAACGTACGTTCTCTTGATTCGTGGGTTCCGGTGCCAGGAAGGTAGCAACGATTTCTTTGGACGTGAGATGCTTGATGTGTCCAACAGATGGCTCGAACACAACACAGGGATGTTCACTCCATCGGAAGCGGAACGACCGATCCGTAGATTTATTGACAATCTTAAACGCCTTTTTGTACATTTTGCTAACGAAACAAAGCCCGTAGTCGAGAATGTAGGTCAGAGACGCTGGGAGCATCGAGATGCTCGAAGCTGTGAAACAATTTTATTTACCTCGCTATTAATAAAACAGCAGAGCTTGAACGAAATTGAATAAATAATAAATGTAATTAAATGTTATTTATGAAAGCTTACTCTCGAACAATAGTAATATTTATGTGGCAATGCAATATTTATGCGTAATATTTATGTACAAAGCAATTTCAACATTTGTAATATTTTCATATGGAAAGTAAGTTCACGTATGTATGTACGTACTATCTTAAGATTGTTTCAGACAAATTTTATGTTTTCACTATTTAAAGTTATATTGAGATCATACACATTTGAATCTTGAGTTTGGTTCAATGTAATATATATTATATTATATCGTATGATAATATATATAAAAAATTATCATAAAAATATTCTATATACTATAGAAATTTTTCTGATACTATTTAAACATTTTTCGAGACATTTCTCATATTAAAAATAAAGGAGATATTGGATGGGATTATTAGATTCGATCTTAGATGGAACAGCTGCAGTTCAATGCATAAACGCAAATTTTTTGAAATTGTAACACGCGGAACTTTGCTTGCGGTCATAGATATGTGCTTTTTACCTGAAACGAGAGAATTCTGCTTGGACGAGACTTTCCGGTTCTTATGATTTCTGGTCGCTGCTTTTTCTTTGCTCTCCTCGAACTGTAAACCCTCCAAAATGACCGTTTCGATGTAACACTCGCCTTCCAAATTAATCAACATATTCTCATACGGATTGTCGACCACGTGCAAACGAATTTTTCCACAATATTTCCCGACTTCAATCGGGGTGAAAATTACTTTGAAACGAGCCACATTTCCAGGCGCTAAACGAACTACGGTACATCGATCGTGTAGTTCTGAAACGATAATATTGCAAATATTTAGCGATATCTTTCTTTTTTTAATAACGATATCATTAACCCTTTGACTATCTAATTTACTACATTTAGAATTTTCCTGTACAAAGTTGCACAGATTGTTTCTAATATAAAAAGAATATGTGTTTAAAACATCGTAAATGTAATACATTTGCTAAATAATTTTTAACCAAGAGATTCTATTCGTTTAAATTATCTTCTGAAAAGTATAAATCTGAACAACAATCCACAGTCTAATTAATAGTTATATAATTATATTTAAAATGATGACACGAATTGAACTCAAAATAAAGTTTACAACTAATTAATTGCGAGAACCACGAATTAATTTGTGCACCTAATATAAAGAGGAAAGATCACTTTGACGAATTTCTTATTAAATGATTAATTGAAAAACTAGACATTGAAGAACGTATCGACTTGTCTTCTGATCTTCCCTACAGGTAAAAATCTTTTTAAATCGTTTCTTCGCTTTATCGTTATAAAATACAGTAAAACCTCGTTCATTCAAACACGTTGGCAAAAAAGACCGAGAAGTTCAAATAACAAAGGCTTGCCAAACATCTTCATACTTCACTCTTGTGAATTTATTTGGATAATAAAAGACAATATGTAATAATAATAAGAAATTGATCGATTACGAGTTTGCGTATTTGAGACTCACTCATAAACGAAGTTCTACTGTAAAGTATTTCCAAGAACAAAGATCGAACGATCGTTTCACTGGACAAGGCTTACTGTTGCAGTACTCCTCCAAGACTTGCAGTAAATGTTGCGCGTCCAAGCAAACGGAGAGGAGAAATACATTATTCGGATCCTCGTCGATCTCCACGATGACTTTCGTCTTAATGAATCCGACGTTTTCTATAGCAAAATATCTGCAACTGCTCTCGTCGATCAATGTACGAGCGAAGTTCAAACTAGGTCTCTCACGTGCCCCGTGTACCGGCTCTGTAATCGCCACTTCCGGCATGCAAGATTCCCCTATCAGTTTGATGAATAGTTGGTCAGCCTCGAGATGCGGGGGCAGAACCACGGCGGCTCGCAACGTTCCTTGAAACGTCTGCAAACATACCCGGAGAAATTTCGAGGAAATTTCATTGAATCTCACTCTATGGCGTAACAATTTATTCACCTGTATGACGTGCGGCGTGAAAGACACGGCGAAGACTTTGTAACTCATGGGAGGGATTTGTTCGTCTGGTGGTTCTACGATAAAGGTGTTGGACTTCGTTGTGTTCGGCGTCAGAGTCTCTTCTATCAAGTGAACTTCTACGTTTGCAGCCACTACGCCGCGGTTGTGCAATTTGAAGCAGGTTACGTGGGTGCTCAACACGTTGACATACCGGAAATAAAGGCATTTTTCTTCACGAGCGAACACCGTGTGCGATCCGATCTAAGGGAAAAGCGATAAGAAGCGAAGTACAGGATTGTAGAAACCAAAGTTACAACGTATGAGCTATTTCGACCCCTCAAGCTGTTATGTCGTATATGTACATACGTCACGACCAAAGTCAATTCACCGCATTAGCTTTTGAATATCGTTATGTATTTCGAAGTTTGCGTGAGATAGAGCTTAAATGTCTCGTTATGCTAATCGATTTGTTGAGACTTATCTTCTGTTTAATAAATTTTTGTATAGATTAAATTTATCTTTGATCTTTTCCTTTCGGATTAATATAAATCGCGACAGCTACTAAATATATAATAATTTGATCAATAACAAAGGATCTCTGTATAATTTATAATGGGCTAACAATTTTTTATCCGATAAATCGTCTGGAAATCGATGTGGGGATGAATAGAAATATCCCCTTAAAGAATTTTCCGCGTGAAGTATGGTGTAATATCCCATTAAACATGACTTAAAATTTACACGATTCCACTCCCGGAAGAGCTCAGATATTAGATGGCGTGATATTAGTATAGAATTTTCTTGATGTACGAAGTGTTGATATACGATCTGTTCATTCCGCTGTGTAGCACGTTATCAGGGATGAATCATAACACTCGAGGGGCTTAAAGGATTGAGAGAAGATAAGAACATCTTTGGGACACTCGAACTCTTGAATTCTATCGACTACGTGATTTTCTTGAAACATCGAGTCGAGATCGTGAAAATCGATAGTGGGCATAGACGAGTTCACAGATAACGTGACTATTTTTCCTTCTCTGTCTTCGGGCGTGCTGTCTTGCACCACAACGAGGATCTGATCCTCTTCGGAACCGACGAATTCGGGGTAGCAAGTGATGGCGATGCTATCCGTTTGACCAACATTCACAGCGCCTTCCAGTTTCATTATCGTCATTGATCCTACTACTAATTTTCCTGGTTCCGAGACGATCCTATATATTTGAAATTAATTGAGTAGCCAAAAGGAAAGTGTATGTTGCGAGGAAAGTGTATATTAATTAAATCAATAGAAAAAACTTCGTGATAAATCGTTTTTCCGTTATTGAATTATTATTCATTTATTTTTTTAAAGAAGACGAAGAATGTTACTAGTTGTTTCTTTAGTGTTAGAACTACGAAAATGGTAAAAATAACCATTTCATAATTTATTTATTTACTCGTTCGTTTATTTACTCACTTAATTATTTATTCACGCGTTTATTTATTTATTTAATTATTTAATCATTTATTTACTTATTTATTTGTTCGTCTCCCTTATTTAATGATTTATGACAATAAATCCTAGTAAAATTGTAGAGACAGAAGAAGAACAATAACAAGTACTTAGTCTCGTTTCTAGAAGATTTTTTCCCCTTTTTCGGCTTCTGTCTCTTTTCTGCGAGATCCATCTTTTCCCCAAAATCATCCTGCAACATTTTGGTCATGTAAATGACAGACGGGTGTTGGTATATCAGTTGAACGAAATAACGTAAGGGGAATCTTCCGATATTTTCAATATTGAGGTACATCGTTTTCTCGCTACATATGGCTAATGTACCGAAGTTTACCACAGGATACGGGTTAATACGAAATCTGTCGTTCAAAGGGGAATCTGATAAAATCTTTAATATCCAAGAGTCTTGAAGAACCATACCTAGCGTAATATGCGTCGACAGAAACTTTGAGAGGAATTTCAGCGATTATCCTAGTTTCCTTGTGCGTGTCAATCAAATGGCATTTCAATATCGGGGCTTCCTTGAGCGTTAATTCAGTCTTTGGCTTGAATATTATCTGTGAAAGCACAAGTAAATTACACAGAATTACACTAAATGCAATGATTCTGCTAAATGTAATAGAATGCTGATTTTTATGGGAATTCATATCTTTGAAAATTTAATTAGAAACTATTTGGTAGAAAACTTATAAAAAGCAGGCTTGGGTAAAACTATTTGGATAACATATTTGAAAAATGATTATTTAAATAATAATCTCACTTGGCTGCGTGTTATCTTAAAATAATCTTGCATTGGTTTATTCGAACAAGCAAATAACATTTTTTTCGAAATTATTTCGTTTTTCAGCTATGAAATAAAATAATCTTTTGTATTTAGAATTTGTACAAATTATTTGTCAAATAACTTCTGATTTTACCACTGTGTTATTTTATTTCAACGAATTAATTTCAATGAAAGATTATTTGCAAATGATTTAGTTGATTTAGGCACAAGATAAAGCTATTTTCATTTCTCGAATAAAAATAATAAATTGCTGCAAAATTTTTCATTATTTAGAATTCTTATTTTCCATCTTTATTTTTAGTAAAATCTGTCCGACCCTGATAAAAAGCAAATAAAATTAAAAAATATCTAAAATAAGAGTTAATTAATTTAATTTCTAACTGAACCCAATTTAAAAAAACAAACTTCTCTTTAAGTCAGACCGAACTATACTCCAAAATACAAACTTCTACATTTTTCTCTTCATTTGGTAAAATTGTTCCACTAGTTGGTTGAATTTCAAGCTTCTTTTTGAAATTAACAGGCAAGTTTAATTTCGCCAATTTCTCATTGTCATCCAACGTGATTCTGTAAAATCATTTTTCTCATTTTATTCGTGATAATACAGGAAAAGAAGATGATGAAGTTATTCTTACATGTATTTCACCTCGTAGTCACCACGATTTCTCATGGAGAATATCGCTTTCGCTGGGAAATCCGCTCTTATATGTTTCAAATCAATGGGATTCGCATAGTTGATATCCACTGCAACGTCATAAGTTTCTCCAGATAGTAACACGACATCGGAGAAAATGGGATCGTCGTCGTCTTCGTCCAAGAATGCCTTGAAGATTATCGCCTTCCGTTGGATCATGCCGATCTGTGTAAAATTTCTTCCTTAAGTTATCCTTCCTTGTCAATATACTAATATCCCTTTATAGGGATTGAGATGGTTATAACAACGGTTTTTGTGTTCTCGAAACAATTATAAGAATTAAAATAATGTGGAAATAATTATGAGAAACTCAGAAATTCTGATTGTACAGAATCGGCATTATATCGCTTTCAAAATAGTTATATATCAGTTATAATACACAATTGTATGTTACAATGTCAATTGTATATCGGTTTTGTATTAATTAGACACGAATAAATTAATAATAACTCTAACTTTACTTGATCGCCGAAAATTCACATATCATTTGACGTGGCAATTTAACATACTTCTAGTTCCGTAAAAATCAGAGAAACAAATATTACCGTGGTAGCGTGATAACAAAACTCGATCTTTTGTTCACTGAGGGTTTCTATCATTCCACATGAAGGTGCAAACGTTATTTGAGGATCAGCAGGTTCTTCAGCCTCCAGGTGCCAGAAAAACGGGACTGGAGTTTTGTTTCTGACCGTCAGTGTTCGATGTTCCATTCGGTGAAGGAGCGTGCGACCGAAGAACAATTCTTTTTCATCTAGCTCGATGTCCAGTTCAGTGCCTTTGCTTTGCAACTGAATTTTCCCCCCAAAATTATAAAGTTCAAACAATTTCACATTCAATTTTAATGCCTACAATACTATTTCAAACCCCATTCAATCGATGCCTATAAAATACTTCAAATCCCCCATCTTCTATAAATATAAACTCCCCAATTTATTTGTCACAGATTTCACGATCTTCCAAAGTTCTGTTTATATTGTATAAATTACCTCGATCACTTCGACTCTCGGATTGTTCTTCACGCACAGGAGCAACTTCCCAGCGATGGTCCCCAGTCTGGTGGCGATGGCCGACAGAGTCACAGTCGCGCAGTTGCCTCGCTGTGCAAATTTCGTTTCTCGTTAACGAGAGAATCGTTCGATTACGCGGGACGATAGCTGCTGCTGCTGCTACGGAATGATTAAACGGAGTTAGGCGATAACGTACGGCGATAAGCAACTGCTGGGGTTGAACGAAGAAACACTCGGAACCGTTATCCGTCAACGAGATGCGAACGTCCGCCTCCACCTCGGAAATGTTGCAAAACTTCAGCCGAGCCTCTCGACGATGCGGCCTGCGAATAGATAAGACGACGCAACTTGCGAACTCGCTAACTTAAAGTGGAAGAAACCCGATCGATTCCGTACACGAGGCTCCCTTGATAACAGAGCGAATAGTTTCGTTCCGTTCACGGAGGCAATCGGTTTTGTATTTTGTATTTCTCAGATTGTAGTAAAATGAGGAATATGAATGGTACTGCAGTAATATTCAGGAATTGTATTGTAACAAAAATCAGGGAAATCGTGGGATAATACTATGGTTCGGTGTTCCGCGTGTTAGTTACAAGTGTTTCGCTAAATTACGAAGAAATGTATATACAATTTCGCTTTCTTCCTTTTCTCGATTCTATAAACTTCAAGATTCTTTAGAAAAACGCGAAAGACTTTTAAAATATTTTGACTCGGTTGTAGAGAATTATTTTGATCGAGTATAAAATAATGTTTTAAACAGAATCTATTAAAAAGTTCCATAGTTTTTTCGATACCTAATTACAACTGTGAAACAATTCAATACAAGAAAAGGCAGAGTGTTACTAATAAATATAATATAATAATTTGTTCGAACAATAGAATGTTCAAGTATGGCAGACTCTATTGTATTTAATTTGTAAATTCTTTACATGTTATAGAATTATAAAATATAAAATACAGAGCAAAATAACTGTATTAAATGAATGATTCAATATTTTACCTCAAGTTAGTATGTAAAAGAGATAATTTTTCTACTTTCTCATAATATTAACTTTTCTATTGTAACTATTTTCATAAGCTGTTTAAAAATACTACGTTGAAGTACACGTAGAAGTAGAACTACATGGAATTTTTTTGCAAACATTTTCGATTGACGAACATATTCGACAAAGCTCATCCTGAAATATGATTCGGGTCCTCGAAATCTCGGACATCTCGAGATTTTTATATCACGAGGTATTTTCGAGGACTTGACCCGATAGTAAAAAAAAATTCTCGATCTGAATTAATCTGGTATTCTCTCGCACCTCCATTTAGCATCCTTATTTTATACTAATTTTATATTATCCATCATATGAATGCATCTACATTTATCACAGAATAATTATAACATTTATAATGAAAAAGTACCTTCTGTCTTTATGGAGAACCAGCTGAGATCCGAAGTCGTATAATTCTTTATCGTAAATATACATGGAGCTGTCTGTCACGTTCAATTTTCTCTACAATAAATTTACATAAAACTTTGTCCCTGAATAACTGTTGAGATTAAACGATTAACCCAGATACATCTGAACTTCCCGTGATAATACAAAATAATATCATCTTTCCCTTATTTGAGATTTAAATTGAACACTTGAATTAAAATTAAGAAGCTTTTGAGAAGAAGAGCCTAAAATGTTGACTGTAATTTCCAATCAAGAATTATTACAAAGGTCTTAATTATTTTATAAATATATATAAAAAAATAAAATACTTTGATACTAAAACTATCAACAACCATAATATAAAACTTTAAGGTATAAGAAAGATTTATAACACAATAAATATATTTTACAAACAATCGTTCAAATCTTTCGTTGCAGATCTTTAAAATTTACGAAATTACGAACTGATAAGATCATTCTAATGCTTCTACGAATAGTAAAATTATTACAAAATTATTACAATTATCAGTTCAAGTAATAGTATTCAATATTGAGAACTGGATCTAAAAGTGTTTACTCTCGTAGACTCTTCTTCCAAAAAACAATTTAAATTTCACTCATTGTCAGTGAAACCAAAGAAAAAGTAACCATTCTTTCAGAAAATTGTTGTATAATACGAGCAGTGCAAAAGTCAAAAGAAAACATTCTTCTGGAAAAGAAGAACGTAATATCTGGATTAAGGATACGTTATATTAATAGAAATAGTAAGTTTACTTTTGGAAAAATCGTTTTGGGATTCATATCCAGCCTCGGTATATCCGCGATACCGATAACATTCACTTCGTGGGTAACGCAATTTCCGTCCACGAGCGTCAACGCGAACGTTTCTTCGTAGTGACCCGTCTCTTCCGGTCGAAAACGGATCTTAAACCCCTGACATTCGCTCGGTAGCAAAATCCATCGTGGCTTTACGGGCTCTTCCACGATCGTTTCCAGAAGGGAAGTGGTGTTCGTGTCTGTACTCTCTATTGTCAACGCGTTCAGAGAACGATTCTCTTCTATCTTGCTCGTTGATTTATGCCCGCGTCGTCCACGATTCCTTTTAGCGACGCTGTGACTCTCTTGCACGCTGACTTCGCTCACTGGCATCGATTCGTTGATCGAGAACACTTCCGATATCGGTGCCAAGGAAGTCAATTGATAAACGTCTGAAAACGATAATCAATTTATTGAAAACGATCGTTATCGGAAATATTAATGCAGAAATTAATCTTGGTCCATATCATCGATCCGTTCCTACGCCACGGTTCGATCGGACGCTTATTCCGTCGCTTAGAATTAATACTTTGATTTGTCTCTACACGGTTTTCTTTTTACAGTTACACAATTTTTTGTATGTATTGGAAAATTAGATAAAATCTTTAACGTGTCTAGAAATTGATCGCCATGCAATGATTTGTTTTGCGGTTTATCAAACAATTTCAGAATGTTGTTGAGTATATTTTTGTAATCACCTCGCGATATATTAATTTATCCTCTATGAGGAATCTGTCCCATAAAATTGAAATAAATAAATATGGTGAATTTTCTTATTTTTAAATGAAATGCTCATGATTGTAAAGATGTGACCGCTTCGAGAATAAAATGTAATCGAAATGTATACAGAAATGGATCGATAATGTGAACATTCGGAAATTTAATGAAAGTAGAGGGCATCAAGAACGGATCGGTAATATGGATTGGATCTTATGGTGAGATTTGAAAGAATACCAGCAAGAGTTCTTTTAACTCGTTTTTCGACGTCTTTATATCTGAGGACGGAATAAATTTTGGGTCGAAGATCTGGCTCTGGTATTATCTCGACGGCTAGAAAAAGTATGTTTATTTTTCATATTGAAAGAAAGAGAAAATTATCACTCAACTTACGAAGAGCAGCTTTTGCCAGTAGATTTTCGCTCATTTGATTAACCACTGTATTATACATTACGTCCTGCCAAGGATCGCTGGATCTTACATACCATATGTGAAAATCATTCACAGGCTTCTAGCAAATATTAAGACTTTTAAATATAATACATAATTGACAGTTTAAACATTTTTATGATCTCTACAAAATATAACTATGTAATGTGCTCTTCTTTATTATATTTTCAAATTTGTTTCATACTTAAGCAATACAATCATAATAATTAAATCTCAGTGCGGCGTTATTTAAATTTTAAAATGTTTCATATACTACACATATATTCGTAAAATGTTCTTTATAAATGTTCAAACACTTTCGTGAACAATTGTACATGTATGTATATATGTAGTTTTCTATTTACAACTTATAAATAATTGAATTAACTGGATATTCGTTTATCCGGCTAAAGGGTGGTATGCCAAGAAAGAATCTACTGTATTGTGTAAAATTCTTTTATACCTTTTGAACGTCCAAAGGACTCAGATCTCTGGATTTATCGCTTTTTATCACCCTTGACTTTATTGTATGAGGGGTTTCCTAAAGTAATAAAATAATATCTTCAACATCGGAATTCAAGAGAAATTAAGAAAGAAGAAAATATTAGGTATCAAAGAAAGTTGCTACGGTTTTTGGTTTGCAATTAACTAACGAATTTCGGTCGTAGTAATTAAATACATTGTAAAATTTACAAACAATTGTATAAATGTAATTTTCAATACTTTGTACATATGTATATGAGGTTAATGAATAGTGGATAGTGTGAAATTCATGCTCTGCTGCGTGCTTTATTAATTTAACTGTTTGAGTGTTTAATCTGTATGCCATGTGAGATAGAAATATAATAGAGTTATAATCTGAAGATTATACTGACTCTAAAGTACTTCTAAATGATTAATTTACGTATTGCAATATTATATAAATATCGTCAATTTATTGTACACTCCTTGATTGATTTTATACTTACAAAACTTTTAACGATTCAAAGGATTAAACTCAGGTACAAAATGCATTTGTACTGGATTTTATTAGTTTAAACAGTTCAAGCTAAAGCTACCTTCGAAAAAGAGTACATTTAAATCCACGAAAAAGATGTGCAGCTGACAAATCTTCCAACGTGACAAATTTAAAATAAAAAGGAGCTTTCACTTACTTAGATTATAAACTTTCGAGTAGACAGATACCATATCGTTTGAAAAAGGAAAATTCGTTGCCCAATATAATTACTAGAGGTGTGCGGGAACTCAAAATATCGGGTCAAGTCGGGAACACGAAATTTTTTTGGGATCGGGACGGGTACCCGAAAATTTTGAGATTCCCGAATTTATCGGAATTCCCGAAAGAGTTTGGATTTAGGAAAGGATTGGGAAAAAATTTGAATAATTCGTTAAAGCCGACGCCTTCAACTGTATTAAAAAAGCGCAGATCTAGAACCATCATTCGAGCAATTCCTTCTGTTATATCTTTTGGTTTAACAATCTTTCGCGTATTATTTTGTACATGCGACAAGTTTTATACCAATTCAGTTTCTTTTCTAGCATATATACTTATGTTTGGATGCATATGCTTGGCATAATAAACCTGTAGTATTTGCATACTTAGTTTTAAATTCATCGTGACAATGTATGCATTCCACCTTTGTATCATCTTTTTCCTGAAAATGTTCCCAAACAAAGCTTCTCTTTACCTTCTTCCTTTGCACGATATCTCCTGCACTACTTCCTTCCTGCTACCACAACTTTAGCCTCACTATCACTCGACATTTTTTTAAAAGATTTTTAATCTTTATTAAATTCACACAGATTTTGAAATATATATGTCTGAACGAGTTTCTCAGTGATACTGATCAAAAGCGTACATAATGTCTAAGTACTAAACACGCAGTCGCACGTTCGGTTACATCAGGTCACACGATTCTTAGAATCCGTGTTTCTAATAATTTCACTGGCAGAAGAAATTGAACTGTGTATTTACATATTTATAAGCTATTATACAGTATTGTAGAATAGTTCGAGAAACGGTAGCCGAGTTCTTGAAATTTTCGGGAATCTCGACTTTTTCGGGAAACCCGATTCCTTCGGGAATCTCGAAATTTTCGGGAACCCGACTCGACCTCTTCCCGATACATTCGGGTTCTCGCACACCCCCTAATAATTACCATCGTCATTTTTATAGGATCCCAATTATAAATAATCATCTCAATCGACGATAGTTCTGCGTAATACTGATCCATAGCCGTCATAATTTCTTTAACCTCGCTCGGCACAGGTTCCTTTCCTATGAAATAAACATCACACACAGTTATAAATCGCGAGTGTTGGCCGTAGTTCTTCCTTAATTCAGCAAATCCACCTCGTTTCGAGCTGTCTCTACTTTTCGTTGCTTTGCTTGTTCCCAGTTTGTTAGAAGCTGGCCGCGAGTTACTAGTCGCAGTCGCGTGCTTCGCCGACTTTACGTCCCGCTTCCTCTTGATTGTCTTCGAGCTCGAAACGACATTGCTCCGGTTCTCCTGCGAAACCGTTACAGCCGGCATATAAATTTACAATCGAATAGAAACGCTCTTAAAGTCGAAAATCTCGAAAGCTATCTTCGGCGCTTTTTAATTAACGACAAGGGATTCCCAGGTTTGCGGATTTAACCGCCGCCGGCGCTAAATTTTCAGTTTGAAACGAGCTTCTATTCGAGGACATTTTAATCGATAAATTTTTGTTAATTAATAAACGAAAGTTTCGTTATGCACGACCGTCTTCAATTAATAAAATTGATATTTCAACCGAGTTTAAATGAGAGAATTTAAATCAGAAAATTATCATCGACAAAACAATTTTAACTAACATAAATGAGCCCTTCACCGATAATGGTCCCCTTGCTATGTATATGATTTATATTATATATATACATATATTATATTACATATATGTATATTGTTTTAGTGTACTTTTGTTACAACAAAATTAATCGACGTATTGATAATAAAAAATTCCAAGCGAATATATTGACAGATATAGATGCAAAATAAAAATATAAAATGATACAGGAAGGGGAATCGGATTAAACCAAAATTGATCGCACAGACGGTCCATAGTTCTTAAGGGCTAATCCTTAATGAGTTGCGGTAGATCAAGTGATCAAACCTTTTTCTTTGTACGTTCCATCATTCTTTCGATAAATCGAGCTCGTCTACGCGATGCCTCCTCCCTTTTACGTGGTAGAATCGCGTTCAGATATATCTTCTTATCCTCGTCGGGAAGTTGATCGTATTCGGACGACGACATTTCGTCGATGTCCTGGATCTTCTGAGTGGGATCGGTTGCTTTCACCGCTGCAAAGATGAAAATCTCGTTTTTCTGTGCCATTGACAGTGTTATTTCATGTGCAATTTCTCGTAGGGATCGAACCACTTTGAAACTACGATTATTCGATAAAGTTTCTTGCGATTTACTTATTATTTCGTTTCGAATTTGTCTTACGTTAGCTTTACATTCTTATTTTCTTTACGCTTTAATTTTATATTTCCCTTTTTTTTCTTTTTTTCTTTTTTGAACGTGAAAAAAAGATGTTTTATCTATATTAGAATCACAGGAAATTCCCTTTTATTCGGCTTTATTTTAACCACTCTTTCGTTTGCTTGCTGTAGAAATAGATTGTGATTTTTCTATAGTAACAATAGCCTTCGACATATAATTGTAAACTGGTTATTAGTTACATAGAAAATTTTTTTTCATACGTTCCTGTTGTTAGAAATGATTGTATCAAACATTATTCAGAAATATTCAGATAAACGATACTGTCGGATTAAAACTGATCCCATACTGATCTAGGGAGAATCTACTATATATGTATATACAGATTTTCACATTTCTATGTACAGCGAAGAGTATAATTGAACCGATTGTGATGAAGAATTTAACAAATAATTTAAACTGTCAGGATATTACAAGACATTAAAAATAAAAGGTATTATAAATATTCTAAAACTTTTGGCAGAGGGAACGTATTTCAAAACTCTTCGACATTTACTTTCAATCTCATCTACTTACAAATTGCCTACTTTTCGCTTTCTAATTCAATATACTCTCCTTTAAGCGTGAACGAAAGACGTTTTACCTATTTCATTTCGGAGCTGCTCCACTTTGGCGTTATAGCGAGCCATCGAGTTAAGAAAAGTAACGAATAGAAAATACTCGATATTGCCGACGATCCGTAATAGGAAAAGCAAAGCTTCGGACGTGTTGTTTCGCAGGAAATTGCTCTCCAAGCTTTGTACAACGAAACCTCGCTTGAAATCATCCATGGATAATCTGTAAACCGTTCGTTGTGTACAAATTGACGCAATTAATCGCGGATTGGTAAACTGTTCACGGAAGACCAATGGAAGATAAGAAGTCATTTGCGGGGAAACCTTTCTTCGAGAGCTTGGAATATTAATTCAGAAGTAATCCCAGCAAACGAAGCATCTTGTTTCTTTTTTGCGCCTCTGTCCTCTTTATCTCTAGACGGTTCCTGGATTTCACGGTGATCAACTACTTTCTCCAGTAATAAAATTGCTTGAATCTTGTACTCGTATCTGCTCAAAGGATCCAAGACCTCTAGTTTCTCACCGGCTGGAATTTTGTCAAGCTCGGCAACTGGATCGGGATCTGCATGAAGCCGAAGGATCACTTCTTTCTGAGAGTCGGAAGTTTCTATTTTAGCAAATTTTGGCGTCTTCAATCTCCTCGGAGTTTTGGACGATTCCGTCCCCGATTTTTCTTTTGGGGACCTTCCTCCTTTGTTCGAATTCACTGTTCTTCTAGTCGATTGCGATCCGATCTCGTTGCTTTCACCAGCTCGACTACGTTGCCTAACGTATTAAGAAAAAGAGTGAAGAGAAGATATTTTGGCAAAATTGTATCTTTGTCTAATCAGAAACATAGATAACATAATTCCTCTCCTCGTCTTTCATACGATAAATTTCGGAAAATTAAAATAATTTTTCAACGTGCATAGATCAATACTTTTTCATAAAGAACATCGATTTCTATTGATTCATGGATTAGAAAATATATGAGCCCATTTTTTGCAGAGAATCTATTACGTGTTATGCACTTTCTGTACGTTTTGTTTATTCAAAATCCATAAATATCAGCAATCTATATAATAACTACTTTAAAATATGTTGAATCTTGCCTTTGTTTTACGAAAGCCTTCCAGTAACTCTCGTAAACATCGTCGATGATCTGTCGAAGTTGACTCGAACACGAACTTCCGGCGAACGCTATAACTTCCGCGATCGCTTTGTCTATGCTAAGGACTGGAATTTCTAAGACCCTGGCGCCTCTGCACGCAGCTTCTTGATACTCTGAGCGATATAAATTTCGTACGATCGTTTATGAAGATATCGATAGCGACCAATTTATGCGTTCGATTAATTAATAGTGCAGATTAGGCTTTACGATAAAGTAAACCATGGAAGACAGAATGTTGGTAGATTCGTAAATGGCGAGGATGTATATGTGTATAATGGAGTACCGGTGAAAGGGGCTCCGTGGAAAACAACGCAGACTCTCTTCACGGGTTTAAAAGGATCCAGAAGATGGTCCGACACGTCGGGTTTTCGCTCCATACTCTCGAAAAGTTCTTTCACCGGGTCTTTCATTCTACTTTGGAAATCTGAACTCTTATGGAGATTGTCTATGTAACCTTAAAATACAAAGACGTATTATTTGTTATTAGAATTTACATTGTAAACGTAGTAAATGTAGAGTGTTATTCTAAAGCGTCTAAATATCTTTTTTTTATTTTTAACGTGTTTTAAATACAAAAGTAATAAATTAAAGAGATTTAGAGATATAAGTTGTTCTATATATAATATCATAATGTGATTAAATTGAGTTTTAAAGCCCAGTGTCTATAATTGTTACATATTGCACAACAAGCAATTTTTTTTTTTTTTTTTTAATATGTAAATCCAATTGATGGATACTTTATTATGACTAGATTGTGAATTTTTATGCGATTTCATCTGTATTCACGTGACTAACAAAAGCAACATTTGTACATTTTGTCTACGAAACGGAATAAAATATTATGTTACAATAAAAACGCATTAATACTCTACTTTTACCATTTTATATATTTTTGCGTATCGTGTGCATTTTCTGTATTTTCACATCCATATAATTTTCCACAGATGCATAAAAATTCGCAATCTAATTATGACAATTCCAACAAAATATTCACAAAAAAGCAAACGTTGGATTTCTTCAGGATCACTCGTGGGTAGAGGGGCAGATTCCACCATGGTTTCCCCCAACAGTGAAAAGTCCGAGAAATCTTTTCTGTCCGAATCTGTGCTAAACAAGTCACTGACAATTTCATTTCTTCTTCCATGAACGCTGCTTTTCGTAGATTGTTGAACAGATCTTCCACGTTTTTTCGTTTTTCTCTTCAATACGCTCGACCCCACCTTTCTCTCCCTCTTATTGCTGGTGTCTCCTTCGTAATTCTTACTCTCAGGCTCCACTTCTTCCCCCAATACCTCTTCATTCTTTAATTTCTCCATAATTAATGTCTGAGCCATTTCGTTGACTATATCTTTGTAAAATTTCGTCAATTGCCAGGGTATCGGTTCACCAAGCTTCCTGGGCGGCAACAGTATTTCCTTCACTTTGTAGTAATGCAACAAAGCTTTCGTTATACGATACTCCGTCTGAAAGTCACTGAACATCGTCGTTTTATTAAGAAGGCAATATCTGGCAAAGTCGTTCGTCAAGAGACAAATAAATACGAGCTACTCGGAAGGGTTAAACTGATCAACTATAATTTCTGTAGATTTTTGATTTTGCCATTAAACTCTCTTGCACGATAATTTAATAAGTAATAATATCGACAGATTGATAATATTGATCTTTGTTGCACAAGGTTGGTTGTGTGATTTATGGAATTTAGTAGTAAAACTTTCAAAAACTGTATCTGTAATATTCTATGTATAAATCATTACAATTCAAATGGTAACAATAGAAGTCGTCAATTCCTTTTAGCAATTGTAAAAAATGAAAATTCGAAATTCGCCATATCGACGGTTTTGGTAATTCTATAGTAGTGTTAATCATCTTATCACTGAGCTCCTTATTATTGCACGAGAGAATTTATTAACACTGATAATTTGTAACGTGTGACGGGTAAAATATGGCTGGTAATATTAGCTCAATTATGCAAGAGGACAATGGCTACGTAATTAATATTCAACTTCTCTAGAAGCGCATTAATTATGTACATCTGCAGAATAATTCACGGTAACAATAATAATAAATTCCAAGATTTTTATACCGCAACTGTGGATGATTATATACTTATAAAAAAATTTTGGGGTGTTAGAATGTACAGAAAATGTATAATATCTTATTCTTTGAACGTCTTAAAATTTTTATGACGTAAAAGTAGCTTTTACGATGTAAAATGTAAAGAAATAAAACTATAAAAACTGATAAAAGAAATTTACGTTACAATACTATAGAAAATTCCGTAAATATCTGAACTGCTATAATTAAACTGCGGATCTTTAGGCAAAGTGTAAAATTACACAAAATGCACATCATGTCCGAAATACGGTACTTTCTGTAATATTTGACACGTAGAATAATTCAATAACTTATCATATCCTTACTCGTCCAAATGATGCCAGAAAAACTCCACTGGGTAATTGCAAGTGTTTTCAATCGTAAAAACTGTTTCTTGAATGTCCGTAAACGGAACAGTAGGTAGAAACTGAATAGTCGGTTTTATTATGTTCAAACTTTTCTCGATTCCATGCCCAATTAATGCGACAATCTGCATTTCAAGGCTCATTTTCACAATTATCTTCAACTTCGCCTCTGTATAGCACTGTAACAATTAACTTTTCGAAAGGGTTTGTTAAACGTTGTTGTTTTCTTCTTTTTTTTAATTTTTACCGTTCTTCGAGGCTTGAAATATACGCGAACGACTTCGAAATGGCCAGGCGGGCAGTGATTTGTGTCGTACTCCACGTAAAATGAATAATCTTCTTGGTGCTTCTTACGATGAGCGTCCGACAATCTCGCCTCCCACTCGCAATCGACTAATCCCCTGAAAAATGATTTCAAGATATGATTCTGGAGATCGAGTTTCATGAAAATAAAATATGCAACACCATTAAACACGGCCGCGAAGATTAATCTTGCTACCTTGCTTATGTCATCTTCGACTTAGTAATACTTTTTTTTAACCATAATAAATATCTTGTCGGTGCACTTTTAAAATTAACTGAAATTCTACGTTTCTCTTTTCAAACTTTTTTTTAAAATATAATTCTACGTGTCACTTTTAAAAATATAGAAGTAACATATGCAGCGTGTCTCATTTTAATTCATCGACGTAATTATCTATCCATTTATTCGTATTAATAAAGAATAAATTCCAATAAAAGAATAATTTATTACTCGTTCTTAACCAAAATGTGAAGAACCAAACATTCACCCACGACAACGTCCTGAAAGTCCAAAAACTTAGTATTGACGGTGAGGTACGGATAAGTCACTGTTCCCTTTATAGTCACGGGGATCGTACACCCGTACGATACCTATATATAGAATGGTAAATAGAATTTAATTTTCCATGCTCGTAATGTCTGCGTTCCCGTTTAAACAGTGGGCCATTACCTCTATGTAAATCGTGTGTTTCACTTCCACGCTTCTTTCCGAGAATCTTTCTCGTGTAGGATGCCAAGTCACATGGAGGATAGCAGAATCGCCGACCAATAGCTTCGAGTGTTTCTTGAAATGTACTGTGATTCCTGATCTCTCCGGATGGTTCTTCTTCTTTCCCATTCTGATTCTCACTTCCGCGACCCACGGCCCGTAATTAATTACCTTGGTCGTGTAGTGAGTCGTCTGTTCGACGACCAGATATTTCATATCTTGGAAAAGATAGATTCACGCACTTTAGTGATAAATTTGGCAATTATTATTACGCAACAGTAATTTGTACGTACAATTATAATTAGTGTATAGTATAAAGTATAATATAATATAACATATATATAGAATATTATTATTTTTTATTATTCGAGAAAATAATAATTGACAATTACATGTAAATTTTAATAAATTTCAAAACGATTGATGTGATGAAATTAACAATCGTTTGCAGTTAATGACGCAATAAGCGATGAATGTATTAAATATCTTCAAAAGAAACTAAATTTAACTGGCTTTGATAACAATTAAATGATCTCTCATTAATAAAATTTTCTCTGTGAATTTCAAAAGGAGAAAATTTACAATTATTCACACCTGATAATATAATAAACGATATGTCCGATGTACTGTCGTAACTCGAGAAAAAATAAAACAAATAGATTCATTCGTTTTAATAACAATTTAACGATCCACAATTGCTATTCAAGAAAATAACAACTGATAATTGTCTGCGAGTTTGAATAAATTTCAAGAGGATAGAGTTTATAATCGTTCTCGGACAGACTGCATAATGCAGAGCGGATAATACAAACGCGCAATTACGCTCGATAAAAGGTAAGGTTACGAGGGGCAGAACATACCAATAACGTGCTCGAATGAAAAAAGTTGAGGAATTGGCTCGTTCTTGCGAGTGGTTGCATGCTGCATTAAAATGTATGAATTTGCATCGACGAACTTCCTTGCCAACCACCTTTCCACCGCCATGTCGATGTCCATCGTTCGTGGAAACGTCTCGTCGCACGGAATAATGCACCATTCCCCGGCTCGAAGAGAAAAGTACACCGTGTAAATACGAAACGACAGACTTAGAATACTTAAGATTTACCTGGCGTCGTCATTCTTTCATACCGTGAAATATTAATTCATTCCAGATACTTACGACACCGCTTAACTTTATAATAAATTCATTACTCCTGTGAAACATCATAGCAATATTTAATCTTACCAATTGACATCTCCGTGTCCGTTTCGAGATAATCGGCTATTTTCTCGGCAACGACGTTCTCCATTTTCTGTGGCACACAATGACTCGTTTCGGCAAGTAAGGTCGAGAAACCGTCGATTCGGCTTACGTTCTGCATGAAGTCCTCGGTCAATGACTGGACAGCGGAATATTCTAATTCGATGGAATGATATTGATGCAACTGTTCTCGAGGGACGCACGGATAAACTTGAGGAAAGGCGCCGTAAGCAGTTACTTCGATTACGACGGGCATCAAATGACCAATCTAACAATCATTTAACTCCATGGTAGCACGTCAAATGAATTATTGATAAATGAAGGACTCGTAATAAAAATAGTCTCCTTCAGAAAAGTAAAAGAATATTAATATTGTTCGACGAATATTTGGCGGAAGATCATGAATATTTAGCACAATAGGGAAGGATAGTGCAAACTTTATATTGTATTACTTTATAATAAACGTTATATTATATTATGTTACTTATCCATTTCTACAGTTCTATGATTATAATTCTGATTATAATATACCTCAATTATTTAACAAGTCCTTGAATATCAAAGAGTTTAATACAATTGAACATGTCATCGATTTAATACTAGTATCATCGATTTAATTAAAGTATCAAAACGACCAACTTGTAATTTCACAGATATACACAAATACAGTGTATTTTTAGATTTAATTGATTTTTCGTAAAATATATAAATAGAAGCTTCTATAAATTTTTTCTATTCTTTCATTGTAATGCTTCTAATGGAAATTTCATACTTTGGTCGTCGGAAATATTAATTCTACTGTTAAAGAGTGTAATTGTACCTCTAGTTGAAATCGATGACTGATAGGACCAAGCTTCGTTGCCAAATGATTCGCGTAAAATTCCACGACCGATTCAGCATCTACAAAGCCTTTACTCGGTTGAATTATCAATGGACATATATCGAATCGTTCGATCGCCTCGTTGGAAACTATCTCCGTGGCTTTTATTTCGTAATCAAATGCTATCGTGCAGAGGTTCTTCAAGACGAAGGTCTTACGAGAATATTCCAGGAACAACTGTAATACATTTTCAATAGTATAACAACTTATCTTGATAAAAAAAATTAACGTTTGTAAATTTTTATAACTAAGAAAGCTCTCATGTTAATGATTTATTAAATAATTTTTATGATTTATTAGTAAGTAATTTTTATTCATGATTATTAACTCTCAATGGCTATTGCAGATGAAAATTTTATATTATACGGTGTAAATTTTATATAACTCATAAAAAATCGAACAATAATGAAACAGTCGAACCATCCAATTTTCTTATACAAATCACCTTTCTCTGAAAATTCTAACATTCGAACTATCTGAACATTCTGTTATCAGAATGAAATATTTACTAGTAGGTAATGAATGCCTTAGCTTGTTTTAATTTATTTTATCAGTACTATTATGTATTTTATTATGTTCTTCATAATTGTAAAACAAATTTACTATAATAACACGAGAGCTAAAAATTCTACTAAAAGTAGTAATATTGCTGAAATATAACATAAAAGACTATATTTAATTTCGTGGTAAATCAACGTTTCGTTCATGAGTGAACAGTGAATAAGAACAATGGGAATGTAATATAAAGCTCTGCAAAATTTAAAAATAAATGAATAATTAAATATACTTCTTATTAAATATACAATTAAGCTGATGTCCATTTTGATAACGTGTAATTTAATTATTTGAAAAGTTTATTAATCAAACGTTTTCATTTCCCTATTAATTCCCTAAGCAAATTTATGAGAGAAGCAAATTTATCGTTATTCCAAAATAGAATTTGTTAATACAAATTGATTGCAAAGTCTTGCGAATCAAGGGTTGCATTAACACAACATTGGCTCTTAATTATCGTCCCATAATAATGCCATCATAACATTATTTACGATCACAACTTTCCTATTTTTATCTAATACCGGACAACTGACTATCAGTTTCTAATAAAACAAAGTATAACGTGTTAAAATAAAATTTAAAAAATTATACTGCACTAATATTTCACCCGTGACATTATTGCTACAAAGTTCATAACAAGTAGCTCCTAAGGGTCGAATAAATAACCCGCTTATTATTATTAATCAGAGATAAAACACGCGATGCCGAGTTGTAAAAGAAAAAAATCTCATAAAATGTTATAAATTTCAAGAATAATTGCGTAAGAGGGATATCGAGCGAACGTTCGTAGGATTAAGTGGATATTCTCGTTAGACAGTGAAAAATGTAAATACCTGTTGACCAAAATCGATAACATTCGTGTCAAACGCGTATCGAATGGCGTCTGCGCGAGCTAGCAGATGAATCCGTTCGATGGGTCCACGGGATATCTCGCAGACAACGGTGGCTTTTATTCGAAGCCGTTCGAAACCATGAAATCCTACGTGCACACGTTGCACAGAATACGGAAGAACCGTTCCCTCGTTTGGAACGATCTTCAGAACCTGAAAGGATATTTCATACGTGCTGGTATAAAATATAGTGTTATATTTCCTCGTAAAAAGTAAATATCGGACTTTGTTGTATCTCTGAGATCCTAGATGAATTTTTTTCTCCTAAAAATCTCCCATCTGTCTGTCATTATAATTTTATTTTCAATTTTAATAATTTTATTTGTAATAACTCCAATTTCTCTTCTTTTCTTTGTTGCAGATAAAAATGGCTAAATATATAATAAAAGTTTAATAAATGTTCATTATTTTAGAGAATAATGCCAATCAAATTTCGATTCACCAAATTCGATATATGTAGTTTGACCATTGTGAAGCAATATTATAATTAAAATTTTCAGTTCTTGTTCTATATTTTTATATTTGTACTTTCACATGAGAGGCCATTTTTTCCTTTTAATGTAGGTTTATCGTATGAGATAAGCGAGTTGATTACACAATATGCAACTTTTTTAATTTTTGTTATAACTTTTTAATGAAACATTTATGCAGCTTTTTAGTCTTATTTTTATCTGCAAGACACATTAGCAAAGTAGTTTGAACGTTAAACTTCTGGACATTCTATATATGTATTCTTTCTATCTATATTTTTATTACTTATTATTATAAACAAATATCAACCTCGTTAATATAATGACCCTTTGGTGGATCGGTGTGCATGCTCTCTAACACGATTAGATCTTCATCTTTCTTAAAATACGGTCCAACAATCGGCATTAAGAATTCTCTTAATTCTTCTCGAGATATCAAGCAATCATTCATTTCAGAACTTTGCTCTGTGACAGGAGTTTCCACGTTCTGATTCTCTGAAATAGGAGCTGCAACAAAATTACGACAATTGAAAAATAAATTTTTTTTTATAGGAAGATCTAAGAAAACATTGATTGAAACAAGTAATACAATTTGTAGGAGGTGGTATCGTGTTTAATGGTCCGTCTCCGCTTCCGTCCTCTTGTCTGTCACTTGGGTAAATTTCTTCGTCTGTCTCATTCGAGACAGCAACCTCGTGAATCTCGGGTACATCTTCCTCTAATTTTTCTTTCCGTGGTGAACATCCACGGCACTCCTTTATGCGCACAATAATTATTAATATTTAACGTACTGTGAAAACGTTTTATATTACCTAGGAAAATATTTTGTTTTCACAAATGAATACTAATAAATAATATTTATTTGATGTTGTTTGAATCCTGAATCATTGAATTACAAATAATTCACTTAAATATTTAGCAAAATTACTAACATTTTGAATGTTTTATTTTATTTTGTATTTATCGACTATACATTTTCTGTAATAGAGATTCGTATAGGAATATCTAGAATAAACTATTTATTATAATATAGTAATATAATGTAGATTCCATCTTTTTAGTCATAAAAAATTTTAAAATACATAAAAATATTTGTAATATAATTTGTAAATAGATCTATTTAAATAGCATATTTCAAGCAATCTATTTCTGAAAATTTCTAATATCAAAATATTTATAAAAATCCACAATCCAAGAATAATAACTAAATAGCACCACGAAGAGAATGTCTAAAGATTTATTCAACACTTTGTGGAAATATTTATTAGAACTGTGATTGATTGCTATTGCGAAATTGCGAAATAAATAGATAATTTAAAAATAAGACCAGAATATCAATATATAAAAGTATTTTAAATGATCTTTATATTTCGAAATTTATTTAAGTAATTGTTTCATGGAAATTTAAATAGCAATTCATTTTGAAACTCACGGGGCCGATGTCCGTATCACGTTGTATCTCAATGGAATCTGCGAGCCACAGGAATTTATACACAACCGATACAGGACCGTTATTGGTTAGCGTTAATATTTTCTCTGCGCTTGAACCCAGCTCACAGTTAATTACAAAATCCCCAGGCTCTATGATGAGGTTTGGAAAATTCACGTAGCCCTTGCACGCGATTTTATCCTAAAAGCAATTCTTTCAAATCATTCAACAATCAAACACTACCGACGGCGAAAAAATAAAATTTCTAATAGAGGCGTTAGAAAGACAGAAAAAAGTTTATAATATACAATCTTTTACTTGTATACTTTGCAAAAAATTACTGAAATCTTTAAAAATATATCTGACACTGAGTGTCACTTGAAACCAAACACCTAAAAATTTTCGACCTTTAAAACTATTGTAACTTCGTGAAAAAAATGTTATTTTAAAAGAAAAAACATCTTACTTTAAAGTTAAAACCTTTATTTTCATATATACTGTTAATTTTTTTCTGAAATGTTTCTACATTAGATAAAACGAATAGGAATACAAAGATATTTTGTTTCCTCAAAAATTCTACAAATTGTCATAGTATGCGAAAACATTCTGATCGAATCTGCTATTGATTTAAAAATTCGAGTCTCCTCAAATTTAATAACATGTTTAATCATTTATGGAACTGACAAGGACACACTGTATATAATTTCTAAGAAAGATACGAATTAATCATTTTGATAGTTGAAGTATTAAATAATTTTTGAATGTGAAGAGTTTACCTGATTAGGATGTTCCTGATATTCGAGTCGAAGTACACCAGAATAATTTCTTGAGTAACGATCTTGAACATTGCTATCGAAGAAAAAGAAAACGCGAATTTTCGTGGTAGCCCCGTCAATCAGGACAATTTGCATACTTTGCACATGTTCTTCAGCAGCGGTTACCAAGTGAAATGGTTGTTTCACTGACAGTTGAACGTTAAGATCCAGCTTCGATTGATTAGTCACCAGTAATTCGTCTAAACAAATAATTGTATCACTGAGCCAATAGAACATTCGAAAAAGTTGTAGATGTCCTTATCCCTTGCATCTAACGATATATCATTCTCCAAATTTTTCGCCAACAACGATGTATTCGTCATTCGACATTGAAGTAATCAATTCAGAAAAAAATTTCGAAAAACTAAGAAAAAGTATCAACCTTCCCAATATTCCACTTATGTATAAGTATACATATACATTACAGTGTAGACACCTGTTTGTTGCAATTTATCTTCGTCGGCACACACGTCCACGCGAAACGTTAGCCTTCTTTTGCTGAACAGAATCTGCGGTTCTGTCAAAGTGACGGTGAAAGACGACGTACCGATCAATTCCCGTTTTCCTACACCTTGTATCTGACCGAAAACGTACCATTTTTCCACGACGCACTCGTTCCTAAAGAATTACATATACTTGAGCCCGATCGTGAAAAATAATCCAACGAATCCTCGCGTGATCGTTTCTACTCACAATTTCCAGAACAATTTGCAATAGACGTATCTGGTTTCCCCGGGTGGAATATTGATGATCAGAGGCTGCAGATGGAACTTGGTGCTACGTTCAAGGAAATTTATAAAATAAAACACGAGAACAATGGAATTATTCGAGTTTTCTCCTTACGTGTGCGGCATTAACATCTGGCCACGTCGAAATCGTACTTCTGGTTGGGTTGTCCAGATCACTTGATAGTCACGAGATCCTCCATTCGTCAGAGTTATCGTTCGATCTATTTGTTGATGGCTAAAACAGTATACATATAAGACATGCTATTTATGTAGAAAATTTAGCAGAAGAGCTTTCCATATTCGAATCCCTATTAACAATAGAACTTCCATATTTGTGGAGGATTAATTTCAGGGCAGGTGTTACATGCATATATAAATTCCTTACATATATATATAAATTTCTTTTTATTAGAATATAATTTTATTAACACACGTATAATTCTATTATATAATATTTCATATATAAATCAAAGTTTTTTTTATGTGTAGATTGTGGATTCCTGTGATTTTTGGAAATATGATTGAGAGAATAAAATCTTGGTTAAATTAAATATATATCTTATAGAACACACTATACTTTGGATATTTTTCTCATATTATATATATTTTGTGTTTTAAACTCTCCTATAAATGCATAAAAATCCATAGTCTTTATAAATAACGACGATGAATAAAAGAGTTAGATGATCCAGCAGCTAAAAATATATAGCATATACTGACAATTTTCTTAATCTCCATCTAAATACGTGCAATTTAATATCGAACATTTCATTAATCGAGTATTTTTGTTTCCTCATAAGTTCGAATGTGGGAAGCTTTTATATGAAGTTGATAGAAAAGCTCTATTGCTTCCGCTCTTTAAATAAATCGTTTCAATTAAACATCTATCTATTACTTAGTTAACTTTAATACAATTCGTTTATTTTAATATAATTTATGTATTCATTTTTTAATAGCAGTTTATTTGCTCCTAACGTTCTTTTATAATTTGCTTCTCGACGGTTCAAATGTATTTACACATACATATCCGTCCAACTATAATTTGTAGAAATTCTCAAATAAACTTCTGAATTTAGAAACACACTCTAGCGATGAAGTTTCCCAATCAACCTCAATGTTTTAAAACAATATGGATAATGAAATGAATAATTGAAACCTAAAAAGTAGACCCCAATCGAAAGTTGGAAATATCTGTGGTTCGAAAAGGACACTGCATCCATATCCGGTTACTTCCAACTCCACAAGAATATCTCTACTGTTGATTATAGACACCATGACACTATTTTTGTATTTCCCAACGTCTAGAAGACACAGTTTGACAGTGATGGTCTTCGATTCATGGGGTTCGAGGTCGCCAGACACTGGACTGACGCTCCATGATGAATCTTTGTTTGTCTTTAACAATAAAATCAAAGATCCATCACGAATTATATTATATTTTTTATTTCTATTTTCGAACCGCATTCTATTACATATATAGAATATAATAGAAAGAAATTTATTATATGGAAAGGAAACTATAGAAATTAATTTCAAGAAGATAATAACAAGAATAATACCAATGACGCGACGAACTGAGTAGGAATATGTGAATCGTTGATCAGGTGGAATTCCTTAGTTTTCTCTTCGAGAACTTTCATAGTGCCAAAGTCCAAGAAACTTGGCCCTGCAGAAACCACGGGCCCTTGTCCATTGCATGTTATCGTTATACAAGATGGCGATGGATCTCCCATGACTAACATACTATGGAAATTTTTATTATACTGTCTTCGAAAAAGTGGAAAGCTTATGAAACAGTTCCAACACCAAATTAAAATATACTTGAATTAACCCTAATTCTTAAACTTATATCAACCTTGATAAGAATATATTAACTCTTAATTCTTTGCACTATAATTTCTTTAAAAAGTGTTTCATTTCTTTCAGTTTCATGATATCCGTTGAAAAATCAAGATAATAGAAATGTTGGTTATTTTGTACTCAGTTTGTTTAATTAGGGATTTCTTCGAATTTCCGTGCAGCTTGGGATATTACTACATATTTACTGCTTCTTAAAGAGTTAAATACTGTAAATAGATCGTTTGTGAAATCTGTGACAACTTTCATTATCCGTTTTCCTCTTCCTGTATTATTTTATATTCTTTCTTTTATATTTTTTAGTACATTTACTATTGGAATTATAACATTATTATAATGTAGTATTATAATAAATATTATATTATAACAGTTGATCTCGATCTATATTTAACAGTCGCATTTATAATATTATGAGTGAATAAATATTAGCGGCGTGGAGTTGTATAAATGTCTATAGTACTTAAAGATTAAGGAGCTAAATAACTGTTAAGCTTATAATTTACTTTAACGTGATTTTGTGACGTCCCAGAGCCTTCGTAATAATAGTGGCTTCGATAGTCTTCGATTGACGAGCCTTGACGTATCCCTGATTGTTGCAAAGAGAACAAATCACCGGTGAATCGTCTGATACCTACGATTTAAAAAATGGAAAACGAAATAAAAAAAGATTTATTATGCGTAACTATACTTATAATTTTGACGTTGGTTGTTCTGGATTTTAACGATACTTGTTGAGGCATCAAATAAAAGTAGCCATCCAAATCGGAATTATTCTCCACAGCGAAGGATCGTAAATAAGGAAAATTGACGAAACAAAATCGAAGAGTAATTTCTCGTGGAACGATCGATAGCGATGGCACTGCACCGCAGAATGTTACTGGCAAGGTGACAGGATCCGAATCAGAGTCCCACATGTCCACTTGAACAACCGTCTGACCGACACGTGCGATATTGGCAGTGTAAATGATCTGCAAATCGTTAGAATCTGTCTAAAGTAAAGATTTAATATAAGGAGAGTATATTAGAATCATATAATATATCATATAGTATATTAGAATTATGTAGTAGAATTATATACATTAGAATATATTATAATATGTAATAGATAAAACAAATTAGTTTTAGATTTTATTTTTTTTTTTTTTTTTTTTAATGATATTCATACAAATTTTAAAATGCATAAAATCTACAGCCCACTAATTATAAAAAATGGTTTACCTTGATTTTCAGCGAATCATGAGCTTCTACCACCCCTTCCATCGGGACAACCTGAAATTCTTGCGGTTTGCTCGGGAAACTTGGCTTTTTTGAAGCTTTCGCGAAATCTTCATGATGCAATGGAGCCTGATCTCCATCATTTAACACGGTTATGATGAAAGATACAGGTATGAGAGCTAGGTTGTGCAAATATACGTCTTGCCTAGTACTAAATCCTATAAAAATGATCTTAAATATAACTTATAATTGTTTTTATCCTTCTTCGTCTGTTCAAATTTTCGCTAAATAAAGTAAAAAAACTATTTGTAACATGCAAAATGTCATAAAAAATATTTACTAACTCTTTAAGATTTTGTGCTTTCACTTATTAATATTTCAAAATGTTTCACAACATACATACATACACACACACTTGTGTATGCAAAATTTTCGAATACTTTCGTGAGCCACTGTACTTTTCCATTCTCCCTTTCTTTCCACTTTAATAAAATCATCTCGCGAAGCTTACCGATGGCCGTCGTCCCGAAATCGAGGCTGTCCTTATCAAAGTGCAAAGTCGGGCATATGATGCATCCCCTATAAGACAAAAAAAAAAACGACGCATCGTCAAAGGGAACATCGTCTTCCGACTGGTTCACCGATCGTACGACGTACTTGATATGCAAGCTGAGCACTTCGAGGCTCTCTTTCACCACGAAATCGACCCTCTCGACAAAATCGCCCTTGCGATTCGACGAAAACGACAAATTGAAGGATTTATGCTCGTCTGGTTGTAGTTTAAGGCTAGGCGGTGTCACGTCGATCGTTCCGCCGAAGTCGGTTGGTTTCGCCCTGTAGATCAGCGTCCCGCAAATGTGCCCTTTGTTCACCGCTATTATCTGAAACAATGGTATCGTTTGCCTGAACAATTTCTGGCTTAATTCGAATTATTTGGGGTGAAATTAATACGAGTCGAGAGGAAGGGTGGAAAGATCTGACGGATGTTCGTAGATCGTACCTCGTAATTGTGCACGGAACACATGTATATGTTCTCCAAATTGATCGTGAGCACGTTCAGCTGGATAACCGGTCCTTTACCTGTTCCATAAAGACTATCGCAGAAAGATTTAGTGCACAGTTTACTGATAAACTGCGGATTCTTATGATTTTTTTATGAATAAATAGATTTGATCATTGAAGCATTAAACACCAGTACATTCTTTCTTTAATCAATTAAAAATCTTATTTTTATATAGAGAATATGAAGGGTATTTGTAGGTATATATATGGAGAAATAATTTTTCCAAATGAAATAGGATTTTTTTCAAATAAAAATTGGACGTTTTCATGCATTTTTACATGTTATCGTATATTGTTCAATGTGAAACTACAAATTTTGCGTAAATGCGTAAAAACTTGCAGTCTACCTATTGGTAACATCGAATTTTTATTTTCAATCGAGAACAATCAAACCCGTTAATATAATAGGTTTGATTGTCCTTTTTACAATTGTCTAAAAGATACGAGTATTTTGTCAAGATTAATATTGATATCTGTTTGGACGTAATTGTATAAATCTATTTACTTTATCATTTAAATTATAATGATATAGAATATTTTAATATTTAAATATTAAAAGACAGTTGTTCTAGTGTTAAAACAATAGTCTTCTTCATTTATATATATATAATAGATGTAAAAATTTTATTGAGAGATGTATTGATCCTTTTGGCACTATTTTGATGATATTTTGGAGAATTCTATCGTTTTTTTTTTTTTTTTTTTACCTTAGTGGTATTCTATCTTCGCGGCCAGTCACTTCCAAGTAGGCAGTGCAGTTCACCTCACCGACTTCTAACGCATAAAAGAAAACTGTAACCTCGGTAGACGATTGCGGCCAAATTTCAGCTTCCTAGAAGATATTTGTCAGTAATAATAATTGAAATTTAAATGAACAAAAGCATATTTTTGGCATATTATTGCTATTTTACATATTTTAGTCAAAAAGCAAAACAACCAAAATGTTTGAATATTTTTCTTTCACATCTATTTGGATATTATTAGACTGTGGATTTTTACACACTTACGGAAAATTGAAAATTGCAAAAATACATATAATATGCAAAAATATATATAATATATATCTAAAGCAAAGTATTTATTGATATAACAAATTTCAATAAAACAAAAATGCGACAAAATTCAATGTATTGAATCAAATATAAATATGTTACATTCCATATAAAGTATTATATTCTTTTTTGTCACAAAATAAATATCAACAATTGAATGTTACAAATATGCAAAAATTACGTATAATTTATTGTAATTATTATATGTACAAATTATTATAATTAAAACAAAATTGATTAATGTCTTTTGTATGGATTCAGGTAACATTGTATTCCATAAATTTATGCTGAACACATTCCACGCAAATTCTGCATATTTCTGCATATTTATATATTTCACAAACAGATTGCATTAGTGGAATATTTGACATTGCAAAGTTGCACGATATACATATAATATGCAGAAATACATAAAATATCCAGAGTATTTATTATAATGTTTAGTATCGCTTAGTATTCATTGTAACTGTTTAGTAATATTTAAGACATGGATTTTCGTTCAACTTTCATTGTTTTCAACTTATTGAAAATTAAGCAATAATTTATCCTAACATTATAAATGTATACTTGTTACATTCCTTGTATATTATGTCAATAAAAATATATAAATGTATAAAAATTTGTAATCTATTTACGAGCATAAATTTTATATGTTTTTTGCGTAAAAACAGGATAATTTATTATTATTAATTTAAGTAAATTATCGTTTACAATCGGAAAAAGCTCACCTGTTGTGCAAACTTAAAACAAATATGATTATACTGGAAAGTTTCTTTTGTCAGTGACTCAAGTTCGTCCGTGTAGATACGTTGATAAACCAATTGGTGAATATCAGGAGTGCACACGTTATAATGAGCGAGATCCACGCAACGATCAAGCTCGCTCTCATAAACCAAATGGAATAGTTTTTTGTAACTGCAGAAAAGTTATTATTTCTTAAATTAAATTATTTACGCTTATTCTTTTAGTTAAATTATTTACGTTTTTTACTAGCAGCCACTCTGTGACATTTAGTAAAAACATCTTTCTCGATGTTTATAGTTAATAAAAGAAGACTGTGATACTGTTTGCCCCTAAATATTTTTGTTACAAATCCGAAAATCACGAGGGGGTCATATTACCAACAGGAGATTGTAATACCACTCTCTTCTTTATCAGTTTACTCACTGTTCTTTACGCTCGTTATCCGCTTCGATACTCTCAAGCTGCATCCACTTATACTTGACGATGTAATTGCTCCTATTGTGAATCGTGAGGATCTTGCTTCTTGACAGACCTAAGAAAGTTTCTTCCATTCTGACACTACCTCTGTCGATTCGAATGGGACAGTTTTCCGCGGAACTCCGGAGATCCATTCGCACTTTTTCACCTGAAAAAAAGGAAACAAGACGAATATTAGTACGCGTCTAATCTCTCGGTTTGCCCTTTCTCTTGAAATACCAGTCTCGTATTCGAGGAAAAGATTTCCTTGGAAATCTCCGGATTTGTTGGACAGAAAGTGTATAGTGAACTGAAGTGATTCTTCCTCTTCTATTCTACCCTTCGATGGCTCGATCCGGAAGCAAGGGCTGCAATTTATTTCAAATTGTTATTATCGCTATATTCTAATATGATTTATGTACGCAAGTGAGTAATTGTGTGTATTATAAAATTATAAATCAATTTATAATAATATTTATTTATATAAATTTATTACTTGTCGGTATAAAGGACAAAAACAGCTACGGCACTCCCGACGTTACGTACAAATATCGTTTTGGAGGAGGGAATTTTCACAGCTGTTAATGGTACTTCGATTTGATCAGGAAAGTCCAAGATCCCTCTCGAACTGATCGCTAAATATTCATTGATCGCGAACAAGTACTCAAACAATTGTATTATGGGTCAAATGCATGCAATATATCTGGTAATAACAAATAATGACTCTCGAGTTCAAAGTATTTGTTAACTTCCTGTAATCTTTTCGATTTGCGGTAATTCAATCATTCTTGAATAGTATCATCATTAAAGAATCATTGATAATGCGATTATTCGATAATAATATCATATCCAATAATAATGAGTGAAGAGAAAAATTCGAAAGATTATTTATTAATTTCACACGCTCCAAGTGGCCTAGAATTGATCTCAACGCGAAGCTGCATTTTCAAATAGAAAAGAAGTTGGAGAAAAAAATATTAATTATTTCTGAAATCTCACCTACGACTGGTACTACGAAATCTCCGCCGTCAGACGCGAATTTCAATTGATAATGATAGTCTTGATTCCTCTCGGGCACGAACTTCACTTTATAGGAATTAGAAAGACCTGGCGCAAGCATCGTCGAGAAATTGCTTCCGCAGAAATCCACGGAGAAGAAAGGATCAGGTTCATAAGAACATCTCAAATATCTCGATACCTTTCTTTCACAAATAATCGAATGAATCTTGTGATGCATAAGTTTGACTTTATGCGCGAAAGAATTTTTGAAAATAGATTAACACGTTGAAACTGCCGCGCGTTTCGTCAATGAAACAGAATATTTCTAAAATAGGGTGACTTGTCTAGCAAATAAATCATATTCTTTTCACGTCAAAATTTACTTTGATTATTTAATATTAAATATAATATTATTTTTATATTTATTAAAATATAATAATATTTAATATTAATTTAATTTGATTATTGTTATTTGCCGATAGCATTCATCTTTATAACAGAATATAATAGAATAGAAACCAATCACCATTAAGTCAATATGTTAATGGTAATTTAACTAAGGTTTTCATTATACAAACTAGGTAAATTTAAAAGCTTAAAATTACCCCAGTCACGTTTCGCACTGTCAACGTCACACTCAAACAATTTCCGGAGGTGAATTGTTGAAATACGATAATGCTAGGGCTGATTTCAAAGTTGAAAGCCTCCGTTCTCACAGACAATGGCAAACTGAACTTGGCCCTCCATTTCAGAATATACTGCGTCATCTCGTCCGTTGTCATTAACATATGTTTCATGTATTCTGACGGACGAGCAACGTACTGAAAATGTTAAATGAAGCACGCGTTGACAATGGCAAACAATCCTCCTAATTAAGCCATAGGATAAAGTGATGAGTTCATGAGTAAATTACATTGGAACTTTTAACTCTAATTTTTTATTATGACAGTTATAATTGATAGTTATAATAGATTTTAAAGAAGTTTAAAACATTCACTGCTTTGCTTACGATATATTTACAATTTATAATATAATATTACTCCTATTATCCAAATATTCTAATAATCGAAAATTCTGTTACCCAAATAGAATTTTTACCAATATTGGGTGTCTTTTCTTATATTACACTATTTTATATGTATTATTAGTGTTTCATTTGTGAGTGACAAAGATATAATATTTCGATAAATTGAAACAGCAACTAAGAGTGATGAGGATTAGTGTGCGAGAACCCAAAATATCGGGTAGAGTCGGGAACATGAAATTTTTTCGGGATCGGAACGGGTACCCGAAAATTTCGAGATTCTCGAATTTATCGGGATTCCCGAAAGAGTTGGGATTTAGGAAAGGATTGGGAACAAATTTAAATAATTCGTTAAAACTGACGCCTTCAACTATATCAAAAGATCTAAAACCATCATTCGAGCAATTCTTTCTGTTATATTTTTTGGTTTAACAATCTTTCGCGTATCATTTTGTACACGCGACAAATTTTATATCGATTCAGTTTCTTTTCTGGTACATGTACTTATGTTTGGATGTATATGCTTCAAATGACGTAATAAACCAGTAGTATTTGCATACTTAATTTTTAATTCATAGTGACAATGTGTGCATTCCCCCTTTGTATCATTTTTTTCCTGAAAATGTTCCCAAACAGAGCTTCTCTTTACCTTCTTCCTTTGCACGATATCTCCTGCACTACTTCCTGCTACCACAGTTTCACTTTCACTATCACTCGACATTTTTTAAAAAGAATCTTTATTAAATTCACAGAGATTTTGAAATGTACGTCTGAGCTGCCCGAATTTCTCAGCGATACTGCTCAACAGCGTACATAATGTCCAAGTACTAAGCACGCAGTCACACGTTCGTTTACATCAGGTCACACGATTCTTAGAATCCGTGTCCCCAATAATTCCACTGGCAGAAGAAATTAAACTGTGTATTTATATATTTAGGCTGTTATACAGTATTGTATAACCGGCAGCCGGTTCTCAAAATTTTCGGGAATCTCGACTCGTCCCGACCATCGAGTTCCCGATATATTCGAGTTCTCACACACTCTTAATGAGAATATGTATTCGTATGCAGGAATATTTAAAGCATTTATCAGAAAATATCATTTCTGTCTCCTTATTAATTAAAAATTTATTATTTATTATTATATTTAATAATATATGTGACGTTATATCAATTGAATGATATTCCCCGATAGTCACCGCTGATCCGCGGATTTTTACGCATTTATGAAAAATTTGGAGATACAAAAATGCACCTAATATCTTTATAAAAATATAAAATTGCACAAACATCCGTAGTCTGGTAATCACGACGTTAACTAACTAATTAATAATTTCCAACCTCTTCTCGATCCTCATCCCCTTTACATCGTAAGCCGCGCAGCAAACAATTAATGATTTGCACCGTGTCAAATTTACGAGGACCTCTCGATATCGTTGTTAAATTGTCCTCGTTCATTTCGCCTGATATTCAAAAAGAACAATTCGATTCTCATGAATGGCAATTGATTTCAAAATTCGTTGCTCGAGCGTACGTACAATATGTCGATAATCAAGGGCGACGACTTCACGCTGACATCGATAATCGAAGAATTTAAGAAATATTAACTTCTCTGTCCTTCTCGTTTTAATTATCTTACGTACTCTTCGAAGACAAACTTCACGATTTTTTTAATTTAACGACTAACTTGATTAGGAAGCGACGAATCACGCTACCACTTGATGCTCCAACCTAATATCGCGGATGATATACATATAGATCATATTGGCGGGTACGTCAAGCGGCTCTTTGGGAGGTTAATCTAAAATTAGTCGAAGTTTAGCAGCAGTCTACGGAACAGCAGTTCTCAAACTTTGCCAACCCTACCTAATCGTCCCACGCTTTTAATCACATTAGAAATTCACTTTGTACTGCTTTTAACATAACAGGGGGTAACAATCTTGGCAGAAGATCCTTCCCCTCGCTTCAGAAAGTAAAGATCATCCATAAAATGTCCGAGTACAATGTATATAGAAGTGGACGAAAATAGTCGCGCACTCGATGGGGAATTATCGATATTTCGGTATACCTACTTATAATTAAAAACAGACACTCCAGAAGTCGATTATCCGAGCATCTGTTAAAGAATTGTGAAAAATCGCGCGGTCTGAAGTTAAAGAGTCAACAAATAAGTAGAAAATGTTATAATAGAAGTGTATGTGTAAAAGCATATAATAAAATACGTGTATATTATATATACGTGTAGCAAAAATTTAGTCAATTGCAAGATTACAATATCTGTACTTGTTGGAAATAAAATTAAATTTTGATATAAAATTGTAAATAACTTTCAGCATAGTATGTTCTGTTTAAATGTTTTATATTATTATTTCTCTAATTATTGAAAATTGTAATAATTATTCGGTTATTAATTGTATGAGCAAAAATATGTAATATTAAATATATTTAAACTCCATTTTCTCGAAAAACAAACATTAAATGGAAATATTTCATCTTATGAATAATATTTTATGAATAATATAAATACTAATATTTTATTTTTGCATGTAAAACTTCCATCGTCTAGTTCGGAATTATCTAAATTCAAATTTCTCAATTTCCCCAAAAATAAAATCCTGTATGAGAAAATATTATTCTTTCTTTTCGACTTGTGTTTCTCTTGAGAAAGTATTTTCAAAACATTGATTATAACACATCCCATATACATACAGAATTTCTCTTTCACAAAGCATAAATTCTCGCTTCAGTCATCTTTATTTTCTCCTTTATGAAATAACGGAGATCGCCAGGAGATAATTACAATTATTATTTTTATTAAATGTCCAAGTACAACGTTTATCTCTGCTGTCACGTGAGAATTTCAAATACACCTCTATACGACAACTTTCGTACATGAATTCTCAATGTAATCGCAAGACAATTAAATTGTCGTAAGACATCACGAAGTATATTAATTAATAGCATGGATAGGGTTTGAAAGGTGGGACTGCGTAATAAGGGCAAATGAAGGAGGAAGCTGGTGGAGAACGACAAATTTTGTCGAGCAAACTGGCACAAAGTTCATAACGCAATCGTACGCAAGGTGGAGTAAGGGGAGACTCGGGAGGGTAGCCGACTGCCTTGGCATAGGTTCTCAAGCAACACAACGGGGGTGCTCGACACTTAGGGGGCGGAGGAGGTGGCGGACAACAAGGCATTTGCGATGTGCAACAAGGATCGCAATCCCCCTTGTAACAGCACATCCCTGGGCAAGGTCCTCGTGGACAGCCTAAAGGTGGACATCCGACGTTACACACTTCCGGCTCGGGTTTTCTGTAGAAAATTATTGATTTAAACAGAGGGTGTTTATACGTCTCTTTCTGTCTCTCTCTCTCTCTCTCTCTCTCTATTTTTTTATATTTTACATTATTTTATTCTGTTTCGTTTGTTTATCTCCTAACGAGAATTTTTGGAAAACAACTCACCGGCATTCAATTTCGTCGATTATTTGGAGCATCTCGTCCATATAATTGCGATAGCTGCACGGATTCATGTTTGTTGGAGTATTAATTGATCGTTCACCGTGGAATTTCATATATTTTTCGTCGATAAACGATATCGAAAGAGACAAGTTTCTGTGAGAATATTAAATTTAGCGCATTTTGCTGTCAAACGGAGAAAAACAAAAACGTAATCGAACAGTATCGATAGTATGATCACTTAAGCAGTTAGGCCATTTTTAATGTGTAAAATTAATATAGTGAAACCTCGACAGGATGATAAAGTCATTCGAATTACAGAAATAAAGCTCATTAGCTTCATATTCTCTTCTTATTTGTTTAAATAATAAAAAATTGTAGATGAGGACAATAAAAGTTAGTCAATTGTAAGTCCGCATATCTGAATCTTAATTCGTATAAATGAGGTTTTACTGTATTATTTTTAAAAAATATCTTTTCCATGCAAAAGAATAAAATTAAAAAGAAAATTCTAATAAGTTCTGTATTATACGAGTCTTAAGGAATATTTGTCGTTTTCTTTGTCTGCAAAATGATTAAGTTGGAATGATTCAGAAAGATCCGGAATGATTTGTTCAGAAACATTAAAAAGTTTATGAATGTGAGTCAATGTTCAACTAGTAATGATCCTTCGCTGCAATGCTGCTCAATATCAACCTTCTTTTAGCAATGTTTAAAAATTAGCTTCGTTGATTCTTCGAAAATTTTCTACAACAATCAATAATTTAACAATTCTTTGATTTTTATTATTAATGTACACCCTCGGTAATTTATATTATCGCAATAAATACTTTTTACAAGCCAAAGTTAAATGTGACAAAATTTTATTAACATGTGTTAAATATCAGTTTATATTTTATAATTTATTATATGCCATTTGGCTAGTAATCATCGCTACATAGTAAAAAAAATTCTGAAACTCCGAAGTTCCCAAATTGTGTGATAAAAGAAACCATTGGGTGACAATGTCTGTTTTATGTCTGTACCGCGGTTTCACGATTAGAAATTACTAGGGACGAAATGGGAACTATTTTGTCGGTGGACGGTATTCTATTGGCAGATAGCAATTTGCTGATGAGGGCGAAACGGCGTAGGACAATGGAAGGGACAGAAGAAAAGCAGCAATTCTAGCAATGAGGATGTGCTTGACGTTGAAAGGGAACAACTGTCCAGAATGAATGACGAAACGCTTCTGGACAATCTTCGTTGCTATTCGATTCGTCGACTATTGTCAAACACTGCCTACTACTTTCCCCAAACGTTTGTTTTCTTATCGAAACACAGTCGATCAGTCGAAAAAAGTAATAAAACATTTTATTCTCAAGAATCTCAGAAAAATTTAAACCACATCCCTTGAGATCTGATCAGATCAATTTGTTTCATACAAAGGATCTGGTTTACTATAAAATAATACAAAAAAACTGCACATACAAAGCCGCAAAATATACAATAAATAAATACTCTTCTAAAAATTCACAAAAGGACATGTCTAAAAGAAAACAAGATCAGACTATAAAAACAATCTCAAAGGTTTGTATCGTTAATTCATCATCGGGATTTGCGCGTGCCTGTTCGCGATCAAAGTTTCCGGTATCATGATCTGCTGATTGAACAGGTAATCCGGCTTTCTGGCCAAGTATCTCACGCCACCGATGGTTTTCGATTCGTGAATATCCGGTTGGCTGTAATACACCTTCTCTGGTAGCATCTTGCTTTCCGTGATTTGTCCGTTCATCGAACTAGTCATGTTGCCATGACTAGCGTCGCCACCAGCGTGATCGAAGCTTCCCTTATTTTGCTCTGTTCCCTGACTCGAACCAACATCGCCTTCGCCGTTGTTTCTCAGTAAATTTTTCGTGTTCTGATAATATTGCTGCATCTGCTGATAGTGCTGAGGATAATTTCCATCGAACTTGAACGACATCACGTTTCCACAATTGTAAGGAATACTCGTCGAATTCTGTCCCGGGAATTGTTGTTGTTGTCCCAGTGCTGGTAGTTGTTGTTGTTGTTGTTGTTGGACGAGTAATCGTGGCTGGTTAGTGGTTCCGTTTTCTCTCTCAGCTTGCAGGTAGTTCCTTGACATATCCGGTTTCTGTCGGGGATATTCCCTTACATATTCCTGTTCCATCTTCTTCACCAACAACCGTTGCGCTGGAGGGTTGTTCGGGTTTCTGGAGTTCTCCAAACCATTTGCGGATATCCTCTTGACAGCCGACGGCAAAGTAGACGTTATCAAACGATTCTGAAACTCTGCCTCTGCCTCGCTGAAGTCTTGCATTCCATTCAGCCTTACTACAGGCTTTTTGGGAGCGAGATTCACCAGGTATTGTAGCCTCTTCCTGATCTCCGACGACACTGCATCGGTCTCCAGCATCCTCTTCGCCGCTTCCGGGTCCTGCAATCCGTTCTGCAGCTTCTGCGGCCGGATCTCTTTCTTGTACCGACGCATTTTTAACAGACTAGACGGCTCCGTAGACGATCTGTTGTCATCGTATTTCGGAAATTGATTGGAGGACTGAACCTGTTCCTGATTTTGCTGAGGAACAGCCTGATAAAACTGCTGATACTGTTGCATAATCTGTGGATTGTAGTACTGCTGATGAGGCTGTTGATGAACGTATTGTTGCACGCTTTGCGAGTTGTTCGCGTTGATCTTCATCAGTTCGTTCATATTGCCAAATCTTGGTATCGCATGAGCTTGAGAGTACATGTGATTATAGTTCTGTAGAGGCCTCTGTTGTTGCTGCCAATTAGCCTGTTGCCAGTGTTGATAGTTCTGTTGGTTCGTAACTTGAACGGGAATTTGCTGACCAGACACTTGGCTCGCCATCTGTTCATTTTGTTGCTGCTGTTGGATCATCTCCATTTCCCGCTGCTTCTTCCGTTGCTCGTACGTTTTCTCGATTTCCACGTAAGACAACCTCGGAGGGGTCAAATGAATCATCCACTCAGGTTTCTCGTCCTGCTCCTTTCTCTTCCGATTCGTGGCCACGGTCTTCGTTACTGCCGGCGATTCTTCCTGTTGCCGCAGAAGCTCCAGATACTCCAAGTGCTTTCGCTGCTCGTTCAACAGTATCTCGAATTGTCTGCGCATAATATCCATGGGTACACCTTGTTGCTTCATCGTTGCCAACAGTTTATCTTGATCGCGGATCATACCGATAGTGAACTTCAAAGGCTTCCTCCTCTGAGTTTGAACATCCGGTTGTTTGTCTTGCGGCTGTTGAGGATTGAACTGCTGAAAGGGAACCATTTGCTGACTGAAATTCATGTTCATCTGCTGATTGTGAGCATTCAGATTCTGTTGTCTCTGTACAGGATTCCTGTACATCTGATGCTGATGCACAGGCTGTTGCTGATACTGTGGCAGCAATTGCTGCTGTTGATTCTGCGGTCTGTAGAGTGTCTGGTTGCCATTCACCACGTCGACGTTGTAAGGATTCAGTTGCGCCTTGATACTTGAATGATCGGCCACCTGACCGTTCATCGTCCATCTGTTCTGTGGATTCATCGTGTAATTCAAATCCCTGTGATTCGTCGCGTAATTCGGTTGACTCGGTCCAAGCATTCGCGTATTTCTCATTTGACTTGCCGTTACATCCTGAGGGGAGGTCATCCCCTGGCTAGGAAAGTAACCGGCCATCTGCTGTTGATTTCCCATCATCTGCATCTGATAAGCCTTTTGCTGCATCTGTTGCTGCTGCGCCATGTTCTGCTGCAGCTGCTGGTACTGGTAAATCTGCTGAGGATTCTGAAGATTCCTGTACAGCGGAACGTGACCGTGCGACGAACACTGACTGTAAACGTTCTGCTGATTAACGTTAGGCGGACTTAACGCGATAAGCTGCGAGTTGGGCTGCGCTTGCTGTTTGCTCATCATCGTTCGTCTGTAGACTGCCGCGTTTCGACCTCCTATCGGTTGTTTCTCGTAATCGAGATCGTTGGTGCCTATCAGATCCTCGCTCTTTACTTTCCTCTGATCCACCACCGAAACGTTTGTCACTTGCTGCATGTATGGTTGAGGTGTCATTGGACCTTGAGTCGGATTAGAGGAAGCTACGTGAGAGTTCCTCTGAGGAAAATAGTCATGCGAACCGTGAGGCACGAAAGGACGATGGGACTGGACGTTTGAAACTTGTTGAGGCAGCATGCTTTCCGAGTGCGGATTCATCTGACCGATCTGATGGATCGCTTGCTGAGGCACAACCTGTTGCTGACTCGCGTTCTGCACGCCCTACGAAACGATTAGTTCGTAGTTTAATGCTGGTCCAAGTTTGATTATTTGAGAATTGGATTCTAACACGAATTAGTATTATGGTTAGCAAACTGAATAGCGAAAGGAGTACAGGTCTCGTTGGTTACGATAGGATCATCCTGCCCGGCAGAATCTATTGCCCATTTAGAATCGAGCAATAATTTATCGTAACGTTACAAATACAGCGAATTCTTGAGAATTCATAAAATTACAGAATATAAATAATAATGAAAAGGTATTGAACGAATTCTTAGAATTTCCTTTCATGGTTACAATATTAAAAAATATTTGATGATCCTCAATTTTTCATATTTCCTTGTTCTCGTCTTAGTAAACGAAAAGGAGATCATTGGTATAATATAAAAATTTTTCTATATTTTATATACGCAAAAATGCAATTGGAAATCATCGGAAATAAAATAATAAGAATTAAATAAAATAAGATATTCATAGAAAAATTTTAATTTTAGTAAACTTTTTATAATAATTATATTAATTAACATAAGTCATCATTACGCTGTACTTTTTCAAGAATATTATTATTTGTTAATTCGCGGAAGCCATATCACCGAAATGTGTATTCAAAATGTGACATGATCAAGACAAAACAAGGTAAAAAACAGACCGATAACTCCCCGGCAATATTCGAATAACGAGAAGAAACTTTTGAAGTTAAAGCAACTCACCCAATCAATCCTCCATAGCCAATATTAATAACATTACAAAAGAGAAAGATAAAAGTTAATAAAACATTGGCTTACTTGCGATTGTAGATGTTGGACAGCATCACCTTGACCAGCGTCACGATATTGCTCAGGATGTCCAGCCGTATACAAAATTCCGGCTTGTCGAGGATCCTGTTGCCCGATCAATGCAGCCATCGGTTTGGGCGAAAAAGACGGAGGACTCTCCAACTTTTTAATTTTCTCCGAAGGGAAATATTTCAGTCTCGGCGAGGAACACGATCTGGGTTCTTTGCATCTGTCTTGAGAGTTAAATCTGATCTTTGGCAAAGAAACGTCCGCGGCTTTGTTAGTTATTTTCGAAGAATCACTAGGATCGACGAGGTCGTGCGTTGATGCTAATTTCTCAGGTTTAAGAGGCTTTTGTTGCAAATTACTAACGCTTGGCCGTCTGGACGGTGCTTTCTGTATGCTGCTTTTATCCGCTAAAGTTTTTCTGTAAGAAAATAAATTTTTCCTTCTTTTTTTTTTGTTTTAAATGATGTTAAGTCGCTTTATAAGTTTCAGCGATTTTTAATAAAGTGATCGTCAGAGGTATATATTTATTATCTTGTTCAGAAAGCACTGTTGGATTTCTGAACATCTAAATTCTAATAATTATAAGTTCGGAACAAAAAATATGTAAAAATAATATATAAAAAAACGTGAACAACTTATAAAATGACCCAATAGAAAGAAAAAAAGTAACCTCTAATTTATCACGAGTTGTTCTTGAATTTCAAAGAAATATGAGATTTCAGAGGTTGTACCTTTTGTTCATTGTTCGAAATTTTGCGAGAGTTTCAGGAGTATTTAGTGGTACATCATTTGCGATAAGCCAGGTAATTTTTTTTAGCTCGGATTTTGCATTACCGCCAGGAAAAATGGGTATGTCTGACAGCTGGATTTTAGCGATGGTTTGAAAATAGGCCGGGTTGCCATGGATACAGGTTTTTCGTTCATTCTTAATTTTAAATTCATACTTTTAAATTCCTGACTGAAATGAACCGCGCGCAAGTCAAACCGAACAACTCGAGATTAATCATTTTTGAATAACTAATTACGTATATTTTCATTAAAATTGTTAAAACGGATTTGTTGACTTTTGGTTAATTGAAAATAAAAAAGTGTGCAATATTCAAAATGGCTTTCTGTTCATTTGTCCGACAGACTCGAATCGAGAAAGTACAAAATAAATGAATAGAATCGAAAATGGTTTTACTATTTTTATTAAAGAAGCACACATCAATACGTGACTGTGTATTTCTTAGCCTTTCATCGTTTTATTCGCCGCTGTTAATAAATCGTGAGGTAACTTCGAAATTTCCATCTCGAACGTGATACGACAATGTCAGTGATTCCGTTGTCGCAACCGTACCAAAAACTTGACAACGTGACTTGATTCATTAAAAAAAAAAAAAAATCACAGTAGAAAATGAATGGTACCCGTTTTCTATTGCGATCAACGTGATCAAATACTGAAGCACATCGTAATCACGTTCGGCTGTTTAACGATGATATCGAATTAATTAACATAATGATAAGTTGTATTGGAAAATACGCAGAAAATTCTTCGCCTATTTTAGTCTTTCACTTAGTTTAGGGAAGGGGTGGAGGCAGGGGGGAGGGGTACATGCTCGTGGAACGTAAGTAGTACAATTTGCGAGGAATAAATTGCAAATCGAATTAAAATTGTCTAAATTAGAAATTAAGAATTCCAATTGGAAATTCCAAATTATAAATTAAAGATTGGTAATAATAAATAAACGTCTTCTTCGATGAAGTATCGATCTCTAGCATAAAAATAGTCTTCGTTGGTTTAATAGTTTGTCACTCGTAGAGGTAATCTAGTAAGGCAACGTCCAAGCCGATTATTCTTCTATGTTCTGGGTAACTTCTAATTCGGTTACGATGATCATCGAATTTCTCAATCAGATTAAACAAATCGAGTACAGGACACATTTGAGTATAATTGAATCCGAGGTTAGAAACAATTGGGATCCTTTCGTCGCAAATCAGATGTCACTTTATAGTTGGTGAATCAATTATAATCAAGAATTTTTGTCTTAATTTGTTCTCCCTGATCAGGATTTCTTCAACGTTGAAGTAGTTCCACTCTTGTACTCTTATCTGAATCCACGAATTTTCATCAACTGCTTTCTTTCTATCTAGTGTTTTCCTTTAAAAAAAAGTAAGAAAAATATCTTTAGACACTGCGTTCTGTGATATTTAATAAGGGAAGATTCAAAATATTCAGATAATTCAGAAAATTATGAAACTTTAAAGAATTAATTATTTTTAGTTTCTATCAAAAACAAATCATACAATTAAAGAAAATAAATAATTTTAAGTAAAAAAGAGATTAAAATGTCACATAATGGTGATAAATTTAATTTAATAATTTCTTATTTCTCAGTTTCAATCAGTGTAACATTTTATTTACAATTAGATTCAAATATATTTCTTGTAGAAATTATTGATAGTACTTGTTAAAGTATTTGCAAGTATAGTAATCCACAAAGATTCAATTACTTCAAGTACTTATAAAGGGTTGCAACATTGTTTATATATCAGTTATACTTGATCTTATAGATGCATGGACAAGTACGTATTATGCAATTTTCTTTTCCTATTAAAGTTCTCCCAAAGAGAGTTTCTCCTGTTCTCAGTTCTATACTCTAACTTGAAAATTATAAAAGAAATGGACAAACTGTTTCGAGACTTCTTTCAATTAAAATCTCTGTGATAATATCTCTGTGTGTTAATTATTTGTATAATTAGAAAAAGGTCGTGAATAAATGATGAATATTTTACAACGTGATACTCCTGATTATAAAAGACAATTAATTTTCTTCCATCGTTTACAGTTTCCATAAAATGGGAGAAACTTTTAGAGATCTCAAGTTTAGGCATTAAAGTTTCACGAATTTCTTCTTCTGAATTTCCGAATTAATGATCTTTCCTTGTGAATAATGAAAAATAATGAAAAATATTTCAATCAAAAACATACACCTACTTTCGTAGAAAAATTCAATTCCACGTGTCTGTCGGTCGTTCTCGTTAGATCCCACACGCCTAACCGTCAGATCCGAAGAAACCTTTCAACTCTTGCCTGCTGTGCAGTTAACAGGAGGGATAAGGCACTGCACAAAGAAAACCACAGCATCGAACAGTTAATTATACACTCGTTTTCTCGTGCATCGTTGGAAAGCAGATGGTATTGATGGCCAACTAACGGGAAACTGCTCGACAAGGGGAGCAAGGAGGTGGTGTAGGCGGTGGACAGGGCATACAGGGGACCACTTTCTTGGTACAGACGAACGCCACAGTTGGACAAGGTGGTGGACAGGGTGGCGGTGGTGATGTACAAGCGACGATAACCTTTGGTGGACAAGGAATGCCGCAACAAACCGAACAGGGCGTACAAGGCCGTAGGTAAACCTAATTTCGAGGTGAGTTATTAAATTAGCTTTGCGATAACAAGCCACGTGAAGGGCTTGATTGTGTTGCGTTACGCGTTGTTCTTTGTTGCTTTTCATGGCGAAATTAGAAACGGTAAAGAAGGAAGGATAAAAGTTAAATTTGTTTCGTATTTACCGTGTTTTTGATTGTATTACTCTGTTCTAACTCACTGTCGTTTTGGTTGGCTGAGGGGGGCAACGAGGTGGACAAGGCGGTCGACAAACGATAGGGGGTGGAGGAGGAGGAGGGCATGGATTACAGCAAGGTCGGTTGGAGCACATATTTCTGGAACACCCTACGAGAAAAACGATATGGTATTGGTATTTCGATATACTGATTGTAATTAAGAAGCAACTTTAATCTCTTTTTTATTTAAAATTACTTATTCTCTTCAATTTAATTCAATGCACTTATGTTTATATAAATTTAATATATATTATTATAATATTACATATATTCTAATATACATAAATATATATATATATATATATGTTCTTTATATATATATATTACATATATTCTAATATACAAATACAACAATGTTCTGTAATTTTTGAATATTCTCGTATATTAGAATGTATGTATATTAGAATATATGTAATATATTACATATATTCTAATATACAAATACAACAATGTTCTATAATTTTTGAATATTCTCGAATACTTGCGTTTGATCAAAAACTTTTTACTTTAGACGTAGTTAAATACACATAATATTAATAACAAGTAATTTATGTATATTGATGAAACTGTAAAAAAGTAGTTTTCTTCAATTTGGACGATTTTTGAATATATATTGTAGAAATCAACATTTCTTATAATCAGCGGTCAGGCTTGTGCTAGGCCTTTTTCGAAATATTCATATTGACGGTACTAACTATTGAATTCCAATTATTTATAACACATTCATCGTTTCGTCGCACGACACACACATTATAAACAAAAAATAAAAGATCGATTTGGATTTGATACGCATAATTATAGAAGTAATAATTAAGTACATATATGTATAATATAACAATGTAGATAATTTCTTACGAATGACACGAAAATCAAGAGAAACCGCATCTTACGTGTAAAGATTGTTCGAAATGTTGATTTCTACAACATATTAAAAATCATCGAAACCGAAAATGAAATAGCTTCTTTACAATTTCACCTACATTCAATAGTTTACTCGAGATATTCAATAATACTCGAGATAAAGCTACAAGAAGAATAATCAGCAAATTAATATTCTATGTACATATATCTCATCAAATTTCAATCTCTTCGATATCTAAATCGAATCATCTGCATTTCTTTTTATGAAATTTAAATTATTTAAATCGTGTTTTACCCCACATATCACAAAGTCGATTAACTGTTAATAAGGAGATTTTACTCGATTATGCTACTAACGAGATGCGAGCTGAGTATGGGAAATTAAGCCGATATTTCCATCCGATGTCCAAGAGTCTGTACATCGTCGATCCCCTGAAGGTGGACCAAGCCCGATCTAACGAGAAACGACAGCATCAGTGTGCTTCCGTTTCGGGCTTGAAAATTTATCTGATAATCGAAAGAGAATCGTGAACGCCGTGATGAGTTATTTATTTGGTTCGTTGGTCACCTTGACGATCCGATCTTCCCTTTTTTCAGCCAGTCATTTTGTAGAAGTGTGCGAGAACCCGAAATATAGGCTCGAGTCGTGAGCACGAAATTTCTTTGAGATCGGAACGGGTATCTGAAAATTTTGAAATTCTCGAATTTATCGGGATTCTCGAAATAGCCGGGATTCTCGAAAGAATCGGGATTCCCGAAAGATTCCCGAAAGAGTTGGGATTTGGGAAAAGATTGTGAACAAGCTTAAATAATTCGTTAAAGCCCACGCCTTCAACTATATCGAAAGATCGCAGATCTAAAACCATCATTCGAGCAATTCCTTCTGTTATATCTTTTGGTTTAACAATCTTTCGCGTATCATTTTGTACATGCGGCAAATTTTATATCGATTCAGTTTCTTTTCTAGTACATGTACGTATGTTTGGATGTATATACTTCAAATGGCGTAATAAATCAGTAGTATTTGCATACTTACAGTTTTAAATTCATGGTGACAATGTATGCATTTCGCCTTTTTATCGTCTTTTTCCTGAAAATGTTCCCAAACAGAGTTTCTCTTTACCTTCTCCCTTTACACGATATCTTCTGCACTACTTCCTACTACCACAACTTTACTCTCACTATTACTTGACATTTTTTAAAAAGATTTTTAATCTTTATTTATTAAATTTATACAGATTTTAAAATGTACATCTGACCTTCCCGAATTTC